GCAAAGAAAACAGACGCACTACTCTGGGTGGAAAAAACAGGACGACGCTGAAGTCTGTAAAAACAGTTGTTTCGCTAAATATGACAACCATCTAGTTGCCTCCCTGCCAATTGTTTTAATAACCAAGGGAGAGAACTTACAACTTATGACAAAAGAAAACATAAAAACCACAATACGAGCATAAAAAATACGTATTTTATAATATATATATGTATATATTTACTTCAATAAATAGTTATTTTGAAATGCACTACAGAATTTTGCAAGGTTTGTTACAACATTCACAATAAGATGCTAGTTAAAAACCAAATACATTGATTTTTTTCAAGATTAGTTCAAAGACCACTCTCACTTACCGTTTAACTTTCTTACACTGGAATTAATCACACTCAAGGACTTTTAATTTTTTTCTAAACAAAAAAAAAAAAAAAATCCCTTAGATGAGGGGTCGGCAACCTGCGGCTCACGAGCCGTAGGCGGCTCACGATGCTGCTCTTTTGATATCAAGATGCGGCTCTCCAGCTCCTTGCGCAAATACTAATAATCTTTATCAAAAAATAAAATATTTGAAATAAAAAAAATGTTAGTGGCTCTTTAAAACAAGGGAAATTTTGAAAATTGTAACTTTTGGCTCTTCTGCTTCAAAAGGTTGCCGACCCCTGCCTTAGATCTTTTAATCTTCAGAGATTATATGTATTAAACTAGCCGTCCCGACCAGGCCCTGCGCTGGCCTCTATGAGAAACCTATCTGCAAAGGATCATGACGTGTGTTTAGTAATCAGCATATACCCGGCATTGCCCACCCTAACCACAACCAATCGAAACCAAAACACACAAAAAAAAAGGTCAACATAACACAAACGAAAACAAAAAAAAACAAAGGCAAACACTAACACAAAGAAAATACAAACACAAACAAAAAAGCAAAAGAAAACAAATCCAAACGCAAACACAAACCCAACCACAAATCCATACTCAAACACAAAGAAAACGCAAACAAACATAAACGCAAAGTGCTCACAGTCTTGCCCGGGCGCCAAATCGTTCCATGCTGAGGCGCCGGCAAAAACTTAGTAAACGACTATAGTACCCCAACTTATTCTTAGTTTTATGCACTCACTTAAACGAATATAGGTGTCATAGCGAACACGGGAAGGCCCCAACAACACCCTGTCGGGGCGCCGAAGGAAGTCCGGATTCGACTCAGTTCAAGACTATAGATAAAAGTAAACATAGAGGACATATAGGAGCTGACTTCTAAACTGTTATTGATTTTTTTTTTAATTGCGTTGCAAAGCAATGCCATCTGATGGAAACTTTGAAGCTATAAAACATAAACATAGCTCTTGAAAGAAATTGTTTCTTCGATCTGCGACAGACAAAAACGAATTCCCATTCGTGCGCAAAAAAAAAAAAAGACACAAATAATAACCTGCAGGAATTCCCGTTCCCGAATAAAGATGTCTTTTTTACGTCAACTGTCTTTGATTAAAAATAATAATTACTAAACAGTACGATCAGTGTATAAAATAAATAAAAGGCAATATTTAAAATATCTACCACATTGCACTTGATCAATCCACGCTAATTATGTAATTATTTTTTCCCCAACACCAAAATAAAGTAATAAAAAGTAAAAAATTAATTTTTTACAAAGATGTAATGTTTTTGATAAAGGGAAATAATTGTGTTTTCCTAATTTATCAAGGGACGTAATGAGTAAATGTAAATAATTGTAACACAATTAGAATTTTTGTCAAAGGTGATACATTTATTTAAATTTTATATGTTGGACATGCCGACAATTATCACTATAAGTTTTAAAAATGAAAGTTATTTTACAACACTTTCACAATAAATTTTTCAAGTCATAAATTTAGACGATGAGCACTTTATATGCATCGCTACCTCGGTTACCAACAAACATATAGAATTGCACTTTATATATTACATAATTATCAAAGTATGTACGTGCGTCTGGTTGTATTTCTTTTTGGGAGCGCCCCTGACTCAAGACTTTCTTGCAGCGCGCCCCAACTTCCAAGATCCACTATTGCACCGGCCCTGTTTACACTTATAAAACTCTGTTTTGTAAACAAGGCTACATATCTAATCCTACACGATTGGTAACTTGCTGATGAAACCCTTATAAAAGGTTTTCTCACTCTGGGTGTAGAACTACATCGCAGCAACCAGAGAGCGCCCCGCAGAAAATTAGGTCACTCTTCTAAAAATACATTATTGGTAACAATTGAATGTTATCTTAACGAGTGTTAATGAATTTCTTTTCCTCTGAGAGCGCAGCAACGCGCTCGACGGGTACGTTAGGAATTTAATAAAGTCGTTTCCACACATGACCGACGGATGAAGCTAAAATAAAAAGCAAGCACGATTATACGGGCTTAAAATAAAAGAAAGGACAAAACCAAAGTACACTCTACACAGAATACACACAGATAACAGAAAAACAACAACGCCTCTATAAAAAAATCGCAAAAGACAAAATGTTACATAAACTCAGTCTAGAGTTTATGCGCCCATTATACAATAGAATTAAATGGCTCAGGGCAGATGCACGAACATACACAATACATCCCAAAAGCCATCACACAGGTAGTAAAATAACATAGTCTTATTTACAACACAGCTCCCATCTCACGTGAGTAAAAAATATTTTATACCCTATGGATTCAAAGCAAGCTAGAAACAAACTCACACCTATTTTTAGAATGCTCCACCAATCATACAATGACGAAAAGCGGAGACAGAAATATGAACTTAAAAACAAAAGGGCCAGTGAACATAGACATAACCATAACACTTAACAAGCTACGAGACAGCAAACATAGAAATAACAATAACACTTACCAAGGTACGAGACAGCAAACATAGACATAACCATAACACTTAACAAGCTACGAGACAGCAAACATAGAAATAACAATAACACTTACCAAGGTACGAGACAGCAAACATAGACATAATCATAACACTTTACAAGCTACGAGACAGCAAACAGAAATAACAATAACACTTACCAAGGTACGAGACAGCAAACATAGACAAAACCATAACACTTAACAAGCTACGAGACATTTAACAGAAATAACAATAACACTTACCAAGCTACGAGACAGCAAACAGAAATAACAATAACACTTACCAAGGTACGAGACAGCAAACATAGACAAAACCATAACACTTAACACTTAACAAGGTGCGAGACAGCTAACATAGACATAACCATAACACTTAACAAACTACCCTTACACAAAGACAGAACCGAACTAGAACGGAATGCAAGAACTTTAACGGCAGGTTAAAATTAAACAAATTATAGGGGCATATCAAAATATGACAAACATTGGACGATTTTTTAACATCGGACTTCACAAACAAAAAACACAAACACTCCCATAAACAATATGCATCACCACACATAGGATGTCGTCGTATTTTTTATGGACTTGGATGCAAGGGAAATAATCGCCGTAATCATTTTTTAAATTTTATATTTCCTTAAATTACTTGTAGCTTCCCTTACGTTATAAAACTGTTCACTCTTCCAAAACCGATTTCATATTAAAGTTATTTTTAATTATTACCTTTAATTTTAAAAATTATTTCCAGTTATCGTTAACACTTTGTCAACTTTGTATTGTTAAAACATCGCTAATTGTGTAAAAATGCATTTCATGAAACAGACGTCCACGTATAGCTGATGATGCTTTCGTTTTATGGAGGGTTAAAGCTAAATTAAATCACAATATTATAATGAAAGTTTCGTAAGCTGGAGCAGTCCTCACAAGCTTTATGGTGTCATTGCCGTCCTTTTTTTGTTCATGTCTGACTAAATGTGATCAGTGATTTCTGGTTTAACATGAATACTGTTTGAGTCTGAATTTTAGCCGTGATTTCATGTGATCACGGGTTGGTTGCGTACACTTAGGTTCTTTTAATGGGTTGTGTACATGTAGGTTCTTTTAATGGGGTGTGTACATGTAGGTTCTTTTAATGGGGTGTGTACATGTTGGTTCTTTTTATTGTGACTGTGTACATGTAGGTTCTAGTTATGGGTTGACTGTGTACATGTATGGTTTTGTTATGGGTTGACTGTGTACACGTAGGTTCTTGTTATTGTGAATGTGTACACGTAGGTTCTTTTAATGGATTGTGTACATGTTAGTTCTTGTTATTGTTACTGTGTACATGTAGGTTCTTGTAATGGGTTGACTGTGTACATGTAGGTTCTTGTAATGGGTTGACTGTGTATTTGTAGGTTCTTGTTATAGGTTTACTGTGTACAGGTAGGTTTTTGTTATAGGTTGACTGTGTACATGTAGGTTCTTGTTATAGGTTGACTGTATACATGTAGGTTCTTGTTATAGGTTGACTGTGTACATGCAGGTTCTTGTAATGGGTTGACTGTGTACATGTAGGTTCTTGTTATAGGTTGACTGTGTACATGTAGGTTCTTGTAATGGGTAGACTGTGTACATGCAGGTTCTTGTAATGGGTATGCTGTGTACACGTACATTCTCATCATGGATTAACTGTGTAAACGTAGGTCCTTGTTATGGGTTGACGGTGTACATTATCTGCTTGTCATCATGGGTTGACTGTACACGTAGGTTCTTGTTATTAAATCATGGATTGACTGTGTACACGTACATTCTTATCATGGATTGACTGTGTACACGTAGGTTCTTGTTATATGTTGACTGTGTACATGCAGGTTTTTGTAATGGCTTGACTGTGTACACGTACATTCTTATCATGGGTTGACTGTACACGTAGGTCCTTGTTATTAAATTATGGATTGACTGTGTACACGTACATTCTTATCATGGATTGACTGTGTACACGTACATTCTTATCATGGATTGACTGTGTACACGTACATTCTTATCATGGATTGACTGTGTACACATTCTTATCATGGGTTGACTGTGTACACGTACATTCTTATCATGGATTGACTGTGTACACGTACATTCTGATCATGGATTGACTGTGTACACGTAGGTCCTTGGGCTGAAGCGTGGGACTTGGTCTGTCAATGGCAACGTCCACAACGTGGTTGACCTGGTCAAGTCGATAGCGTCGGTGATGTTAGGTGGGATGGGTTTGAACCTTCTCAACATTCCAATGAGCTTAGCCAGGACCGACTTCCTGGCCAGGTAGCAGAGGAACACATAGAGCCCCTGGGAGCCGTTGGTCAGTATAAAGACAACCCACATGCAGCTTGTATTCATGGCGACCGCTAGAAAGTAAAACACCCAGGTGAGACCCATCATAAGGGACAGGTTCACACACAACACCAGTTGTGTTTTCTCTCGCTTGTGTTGTGAGTTCTTCTGTCTGAAATTTGAACTTTTTCTGATCGCTTTGATGACGAACACAGCACAAATGGCGTTGATGGATAGAAGTAAAAACATCGGAACGATAAAAACAGCGATGATTGATTTAAAGTTACCTATCCAGCAGACGCCGTTGATACCGTAGTTAATTTGGACTGTTCCGGTTTTATCCAGTGTAAAACAACTTCCGGCGATCAAAGATGGCAGCCCCCAGCAGAGGGAGGAGAAGACGTAAAAAATGGCGGAGCTTGACGGGTTAAACCAACGCTGGGATTGTACATGTAGAATACAGGCAAGATGTAGCGACATGGCGGCCAGCCAGGAGAACGACGCCAGCCATACGGCATGGTGAACAGCAGCGTAGATCTCACAGGCTAATCCCTGGGGGTGGGTGCAAAACAGGAACATCATTTGTGCGACCAGCAGGGCAGACGACATGGACATGACGATTTTTCCTGGCACGTTTCTCAAGTCTGGCACCAGCCCGTAGACGAGGAGAACGACAATCAGGCACGACACGGAGATGCCGCACGCGATGAGGGTCGCCGCACGTTCCACTTCAGAGTTTGGTATAACAGTCTGCGGCAGTTTTAGTTCATCAAAGCACACAAGAGCACCATTATCGGTTAACACATAATCTCCTATGTTGAGTACATAAAGTCTCTGATGTTTAAATTGTTCTTCACAAATTCTTCGTAGCTCATTTAAAGAAATAGAGGAATTACTGTAATGTAGTAGATATGACATTATTTCTTCCGAGTGTTTTGTTACAAGTAGATAATTCTGAAATACAACAATGTCTGATTTGTTGACATAGACATGTGGACATTTTAAGACGGGATTATCACACCAGCCAACAGTAGCCTTGTTTTTAGGATTATCACGTGACAGGGAATCACCGTTGTAGTGAAGGTAGAAGATAAAAAATTTCAGCGGTAAAGTTGTGAGGTTAAAGTCGACATGTTCTGTTCCATTTTGGTCGGTTACAAGCGCCATTTCCTTAAACACCCGTTTTCTACCCAAAGAACAGAACTGACCATCTCTCGTTGATAATTCGTTATCTTGATTAGTTAGTGTCACATTTTTAACGAGAAAATTACTTTCATGGGCTATGTCATTGAGCCTTGTCAGAATCCTTGTTTTTATGTTAGACATACCGTCAGTATCGCTCGATGTGGACATATTAAATCTGACCAGTACACATAGACCTGATTGTAGACTATCGTCGTCTTGTCCTGCCCCATGGAAGTCTAAACACCAACTAGCGTTCACCTGTGTTATTGAAAAATGATCAGAAGACGTATTTTTGAAGGCGGTCTTTAGATCATCTAACAGATTCGACGTCATTTCTGTTCTATTTATAGATCCTGTTCCTAACATCGCCTTCGTCCAAACCAAAGTAAAATACTGCAGCGACACCGCGTGTCTTGTATTGGGCTCGATAATTCGATTTAACATTATCTGAATTGGTTCCTCTGAGTTAGTACCGTTATTTGCTTCGCTGTAACAATAATCTTCACAACGTTGCCGATTATCTGCCAGTAGATATTTAAACCAGATGTACACGCCTATCTGGCTTGCCGGCGTTGGTAAGATCATGTTGTAACTCTCCATCACATGAGTAACATTGTTATCGTATGTGATGGTATCTCTTATTCCTGTCCTTACGCACTCTTGACCAATGAGATCACTTCCTTCTGGACACGTGATCTCCAAACACTTTTGATAAATCGGCGCAAAAATTTGATTTTCTTCGCAGTTTTCTTCTACCTTTGCAGTGGAATACGAGTTCAAATCAAACAAGTGTCTGAAACTAGACACCCTCTCGTTGGTGGGGATGGCGCTAGGGGCGAACACATTTTTTCCAGGTTTTTTTTTCCTAAGTTGTGGACACGTTCTTGTGTGGTATGGAGACGTTAACTCTAGTGTACACCAATCATGATCTAGGTTGTTCCTCTGTGTTAAAATTTGAAACGCGGATGTGCTTGTATTGTGGCAGATTAAGCTAGCGCCCCAATGTGTAACGGTAGCAGGGTCCACTCCATTGCAAATCACACAGAAGACGTTACGGAAATCTACCATGGTGGCGCCTGTTTCCAGGGTGACCGGGACACTGTTGATGGTGACATCCGAAGCAGAGGTGACGTCATGACAACGTGACGTGACATCCGGAAGTGACAAGCCGAAATACAAACGTCCGCTCTCGGTTGGATGGTTGAGTTTCTGGAGCAGGTCGTTGACCTTTTTAATGACGTCATCTTCCTCGCTGCATTGCGTCACCAGGTGGGCGTTCAACGTCAGCTCACACGTCGCGAGCTTAAACCATCGGTACAGCCCATACAACTTCATCAGTCGCGTGTAGGATTTCGTTTCGTTGAACATCGAGCCAAGAACATCCACTTTATTAAAGTGACTTTTAACATCTCTATAACTAGAACAGCAATCGCCGTGAAATACACAAACCTCATCTAAGTAACAATCGTCATTTCTATAATCAATACAGCTTTTGTTACCGTGGGGTCGACTGAGAATAGAATCCTCCATTGGTGAACATTTTGAACTGTTTTTATCTTCCCTAACTCTCTACATATTCTGGCTTCGAACAATCACCCTTGACCTTGCCGGTTTTATTTGTATCTCTGTGTCTGACGTATTTCCCACCTTTTGATTTGACTGCGGGAGTTTGGTCGAGTTTTGGCTCAGCACAAAATCACCTAGGATTGATCAAGTTCTTAAAGTTACTCAAGTTACTTCAAAATTACTCAAACTCTAGTGATAAGCGATTAAAACATGATGGTGTTTAGCAATCAGTAACTATATTATACAATATATATATATATATATATATATATATATATATATATATATATATATATATATATATATATATATATATATATATATATATCGTTTTAAAATGCCTGAGTCATTTTACAAATTAAAGGTTGAAGTTTAATGTATTACTATTACTTACCCGTGAGGTAGAGTAGGAATAATATTATCAAACAGAAACATAAGCCTGTCCTTTGTAGTGCTGCTCCTGTCATGATTATGTCAGGGATGTGAACAATTCATATCAACACTAAACAAAGACACTACGTATGATACCACCATCAGTGGACTGATAGCTGGAAACTGGACAAAAACTGACGGACTAGAAGTGGACAAAGTATGACCAGCGAGAACTGGACAAAGTATGACCAGCGAGAACTGGACAAAGTATGACCAGCGAGAACTGGACAAAGTATGACCAGCGAGAACTGGACAAAGTATGACCAGCGAGAACTGGACAAAGTATGACCAGCGAGAACTGGACAAAGTATGACCAGCGAGAACTGGACAAAGTATGACCAGCGAGAACTGGACAAAGTATGACCAGCGAGAACTGGACAAAGTATGACCAGCGAGAACTGGACAAAGTATGACCAGCGAGAATTGGACAAAGAATCACCAGTGACTACTAGACAAAGTATGACCAGCGACTACTGGACAAAGTATGACCAGCGAGAACTGGACAAAGTATGACCAGCGAGAACTGGACAAAGTATGACCAGCGAGAACTGGACAAAGTATGACCAGCGAGAACTGGACAAAGTATGACCAGCGAGAACTGGACAAAGTATGACCAGCGAGAACTGGACAAAGTATGACCTGCGAGAACTGGACAAGCAGCGAGAACTGGACAAAGTATGACCAGCGAGAACTGGACAAAGTATGACCAGCGAGAACTGGACAAAGTATGACCAGCGAGTAAAAGATGAAGTCTGGACAGTGAGTAGATAATTTCTTTAATCCCCTCATCCCGCTATCATAAATCTCCAATTGCGTCACCTCCAGACGTTAATTAATTCTAACGACAATTACATGCGGCTGAGACTGATTAATTAAATATTTTACATTTGCAGTCTTTACATCTATTACTGTTTGACTAGTTACGTCATTGTCCTCATGTCTCATAGCAAGGTATCGTTTCCTCGCGTTTTTAATTAACTTTTGAAACAATTTTTTGCTGCAGTCCATAAATCTTGAACAGAACCACAGCTCAGATTCAGCATTAATGTCTCCACGTTATAAAATCGTCACCGACAAAACCATATCAACAGTAGCGCATCGACAGTAGCACATCAACAGTAGCACATCGACAGTAGCACATCAACAGTAGCACATCAACAGTAGCACATCACCAATAGTACATCAACAGTAATACATCGACAGTAGCACATCAACAGTAGCACATCAACAGTAGCACATCATCGACAGTAGCACATCATCGACAGTAGCACATCAACAGTAGCACATCAACAGTAGCACATCGACAGTAGCACATCAACAGTAGCACATCGACAGTAGCACATCAACAGTAGCACATCAAAAGTAGCACATCAACAGTAGCACATCATCGACAGTAGCACATCATCGACAGTAGCACATCAACAGCAGCACATCGACAGTAGCACATCGACAGTAGCACATCAACAGTAGCACATCGGCAGTAGCACATCAACAGTAGCACATCAACAGCACATCAACAGTAACACATCAACAGTAGCACATCAACAGTAGCACATCAACAGTAGCACATCGGCAGTAGCACATCAACAGTAGCACATCAATAGCACATCAACAGTAACACATCAACAGTAGCACATCAACAGTGGTACCAGTGGCGTAGCCAGGATCGTCTCAAGGGGGGGGGGGGGTTCCAATTTTTACCCGGGGACAAACTTTTGATTTGCACCCCCCTCAAACTTTCGATTTGCACCCCCCCCCCTCATACTTTTTATATATACCGAGGGGTCTATGGGGGGGGGTTATGACCCCCCCTAACCCCCCTGCCTACGCCACTGAGTGGTACATACATCAACAGTAGTACATCAACAGAAGCACATCAACAGTAGAATATCAACAATAATACATCAATAGAATCACATAAACAATGTAACAAACTACGTCAGCAAAAGAAAATCTTTAGTACCTCAAGAAAACCTTACAGCTTAATGTAGGTAGATTAAATCCCCTTGAAGGTAAATACCACTTTTTAATCACTTATCAACAGAGATTTAAAAAATTAAATTAAAACCTTAATCTCCCTCCGGCTCAAATGATTGCTTCGGGGTTGGTTATGGCAAATCTTTAATCCCATTTGATACGTTTTTGACAAAAATGTTCTTTGTCTTGGAGGTAAGCCAAAAATGACGTCAGTAGCCACAAATGACGTCAAGTAGGCTACCTAGGTGAGATGGGCTCTGACTTTTGATTGGACTTTTTGTGACATGTGTGTGTGTGGGGGGGGGGGCTGGATGACGTCATACTGTAGCATTTAAAAATAATAATTTTAAAAACTAAATTGAATATTATATGTTGACCCAGCTCGGCACACATTTTTGGGGGAGACTAACGACTCACGAGTGAAGTCCTTTTAGGGGTGGTGAAACATCTGACATTACGTTAAAATGTGAGCTAAGACAATTTTAGTTTCAAGGTTTTTTTAATTTAAAAAAAAAATCGATAATTATAAAAAATATTCCATTGCTAAAAAAAGAACAGCTGATTCAAAATTGACCTTAAAAATTTTAAGGTAATACTTTAAAAAATAAACCGGTAGCGATCTCCCCTAAACTTTCTCGAATATTCTTATATAAAACAACAGGGGATGGTAACTGGGGATATAGTTATGATTTTTAATCCATTTTAAATACTGAAACTTTTAAAAATAGAATAGAATCTCAGTAAAAAACAATTGCGCACCAAGCGAACGCCTAATAAAGGTGTTTATAATAGTGCGCAATAGTATTAGTACTTTAAAAATTTACATTAGTTTTTTGAGAAATCGGAAGTAGCATAAATTACTACTTCCGGTCAACGGAAATTACTCAAAATTTAACAGAAGGTAGAGAATTAGATCTTTTACTTACATGTGAAATGTCATTTATCTATGTGAAATAGTACTCAAGTTATAGGCTTTTGAAAAATTCAAAGTAGAAAAAGTACCACTTCCGGTTGTCGGAAATCGCTCAAAAGTTGATACGGATCTACGATTTTGATATAATACTTATATATGAAATTTCATCAACCTAGCTGTAACGGTACTCAAGTTATCGTGTTTACACACGGACACACACACAGACACACACACACACACAGACATACGGACAAGATTGCAAAATTATGTTTTTCCGTATCAGTGAGGTGTAAAACGTCGAGATTTGTAAAAATCTCGATTTTTTTTTTTGCACGATTACAATACTTTCTCTATACTACGTATATACGAGAAAGTAAAAATACAACATAATTTTTACATGAAGATATAGAATCTAGATTCTATCTTGAGATATTTCACCAAGCTATTCACATAGTTATAGTAAATCGTAAATTAGATTTAGGTTTTTGGTAGAGGATATAATTTTATTTTATTTTTGCGAATTGTTTAAAACTGGGTTGTCTCGCTTGTTATTCAATTTTATAAGGCACGAACTACGATAATGTAATAAATAACAATGTAAGACTTCTAACAATAATAATAATATTAACACTCCTGAACAATCTATTTTTAGTTTTCTTATTTTTCATAAAAATGTTTTGATCTCTCTAAATTTGTTTACCTTTGATTTTTATTTAGGCCTATTTTATTTTCATCAACGCAATTTGTAAAATAGAGGGACGTAACTCTAAATTAAAAATAAAATAGTACGTAGATCTAGATAGATGTGGATCTATAAAAAATGTTTCGGCAGGTTGTTGAGTTTGACCTCATTTCAATGTTTACCAGCTGATAGACTGAAGTCTGTATTCCAACTGAAGAAAAGACCGGTCACTAGATTGAGATTCTACTGTGTATTTCGAATGGAACTTATTTTATTTTAAAGTTTCACAAAGCAACATTTAACAATAGGTCTAGGCTAGGTCTAAAGTCTAATCTAATGCTAATTTTAAAATTTAAGTTAATCATTTTATTTTAGTTAGCAGACTTACCAAGAGAAACTGAAAGGTAACTTGAGTCTTGAACTTCCTTGACTTTTTAAACTTTAAAATTTAAAGTTAAAGTAAAGTAAAGTAAAAAAAAAGGATGGTTAGCCTAAATTAATATTAGTTAGTAGGCCAATATAATAGTATAGACTATAGATACCAGTGAGTGTCCAACAATAACAATAGACTCTTCCATAAAATAGGTGTGTTTGGTTGTTAGTAGTAGTAGTATTATTGTAATCTCGACTAATTTTATGGTTAGAAATTGGTTGTTAACTTGTTAGGCATATTGACACATTGATATAATATTGTATTATTGTAGGACCAGGGTTGGGGTTAGGGTTAGGGACAGGGTTAGCATTGATATTAGCCTGCCATGTGTGTATTACTGTATTTAGTTAACTACTAGTAACCTAACAACCCCTTTTTAAAGAAGACACTGGCGTAAATATTCTCCCGAAAAAAGTAACTTATGGCCCCAAGCGCCTTTGTTTCCCTACCCATCAGAGCCAGTGTTTCTTCCAGACTTTTTTCTTTGGGGGGGGGGGGGGGGGGGCAACTTGATATTTTCAGGGGAGGGGGGCGGTCAACATTTTCTGGGGGGCAGACACTCGTAAAAGTATATATTTTCTATATAAATTCCTTTTTGTTTGGGTGGACTTAGGGACATTCCACTGACTTGAACCCGGATTCAAACTCGAGACTCTAGGGTTAGCAATCTAGCTCTCTACCACTAGGCCGCACCTTCCCATATTTACCATAGTATTATGGTCTAACTTAGATGACAGTCTGTTTCTACCACAATCTTTCTATATACAGAAAGTGGGTGGGGTTTAAGGCATCAGCATAATGTTTCTTTAGTTTTTGATAGAGGGGGTGGACAATGGCTAAAATAACTGTTAAAGTGGGCCTAGGAATCTATATATTTTCTACTTTTAAAAATATTTTTTTTGTTTCTTCCTGGTTGAGGGCAGTGGAGATTTCTACTAATTCAAGTATATCCTAATATAGAAAATATTGCGTCTTTATTGTAAGACATTTCTCAGAAAATAAAATTCATCAAAATGGAAATGAAATTTATGTAGAATAAGTTAAATTTAATATTTATAGCCAGACCCCCAAAAATCCAAATTTGGGGCATAAAACAAAGAGTGGTGCAACTACTTTGCATTTTATAGGCTAATTTCTCAATAGAAATTTTTTTTTTTAACTCCTCATTAGCTAGTGTTGTGTCCACACATTCTTTTCAATATCAACTATCGCTGAGTTCTCATTGGACCATTAAATAGGCCACATGTTACACATTTTTGCATAAAGTCTTGTGGTTCACAATAAAATGAACAGCTGTTCTGAAAGTTAAAAATCTTTGATGTCAAGTTCACAGGGGTATGATTAACTAATCAGACTAATCTCCCTTTTTGCTTTGCGTTTTGAGCCATATGTGCTATAAATAACAAAACATTGTGTTATAGAAGAGAAATATGTTGTGGGTAGAGTATGCCATCTCTGCTTGGCTCAGATCTAAAAGAAGCAATATGTATACACAGGTGTTATAAATTTTATGATGATCATATAATTGTGTTAAGGAGTTGAGAAATTTTAAGGGGAGGGCAGTGGTACTGATTCCTCTTTTTTGAACTCCTCCCTGCTGAGCCATGATGGTCATAAATTACATAACGTTATCTCTGCTGGGCTAAAATTTACAGTTAACTATACAGTTAACAGGTGGGATGTTTATTATCCCAATATAGAATTCAATGACACACATACACGAAAGATATTAGGAACAATATATCTTATAATAACTTTTCTAAAAATGCAAGCTGGGGGATAAAATTATTAGAATAAATTTAGATTTAGCTATTTTCTAAAAAATAAAACCTTTATAATGTTGATAAAATAAAGTTTTATTTCAAGTTGGTAGATCTTCTACTTCTAGACTATATTTAAAAGTTATATTCTACTTTAATAATTTAATGATGTCTTCATACACAACATACTTATAGTTTTGTCTATCTGTTTGAATCTAATTTGAATTAACACATTTTTACTTTTCAATATCACTTTTTAATTTGGTTGCCATAATTCTGGAAATATTCTAACTCCCCTTTTAGAGTCCAACCCATTAAATGTCATTAAATTATCTCTTGTGAAGCTCCTGATTGTTAGTGATTTATGTCAATGGTTGAGCATATTCTCATCCCATCTTATTTCTAATGGCAATGACGCATGATGAAAAATTAATTTAAGATTTTTAATGTCTTTCTTAAAATCTCTTACTGTTTGATTAGTAGTGTGCCTGGATGCCTTGTGGCAAAGTATTATTTCCTCATGGCATTTATTAACTTTTGAAAAAAAAAAAATTTAGCTTTAGTAATTATGTTGTAAAAACCTCCACTCAACCACATAAACAAAACCACAATAAATACCAACAAAACCACATTAACTTCATGTCAACAAAACCTTACAGTTTAATGTGATAAGATTGCTGATCTTCCTGTGCATGTCAAAATATATATGACAAAATAAATATGTTAGCATCCTAAATAACCATTGCTACAATAGAAATTCAAGTTTACAAAAATACTTTTGTCCTTAAAAAAACAAAACGTTATGACCCACTTCCTAAACTACAGTGCATTACACTTAGGCACATAAGTTCAAACCACTCCCTCCTTCAAGATAGTAATGTCATCTATAGTCGTTCCCTGATGACTTTCACAGTTGTATTAATTTTCTGTAGACATAGAACTAGCCAAACATTGACATATTCATCGTTTCCCGCTCTTACCCAAGACAGGTGGAGCAGGTTTAGTAGAGTTCACCAGTTTTGGAGATCTCAGCATATGAAAGAGTAGTGTGGTCAGCACTATACCCAGCCGCCTTTGTTTCCCTAATATGAGTCAGGTACCCATTAAAGCTGGGTGGACTCAGGGATGTCAGACAGACTCAAACCCAGGAGCCGAACTCTAGACTTTTGGGTTAGCAGTCGTAAGCTCACTGGGCATATTAAATGGGTTATTAATTCTTTTTTTTTAAAAGTCTGAAAACCTTTATAACAGCATTCTTATAAATAGTCTAAAAGTAAAAATTAAAAAAAAAAAAAAAAAAAAATAACAAACATTTTTCTTTAGTTCTAATGATGAAAGCATTGGTGCACTAGCAAGATTAACTTACTTTTAGTGCATTTGAAGCTTAGTTGATATACTAATATTTATTTACTTGTTTTATAATTTAATAAAATATAACTTTTTATTAAACTTATAAATGTGGGATTATATTTTAGTTTTAAAATCAATTAGTGCTACTGACTACTGTATTAACTCTTATCATAATAATTGTTCTTAGTCAGCACCCTTACTATCTAAAAGTATTTGCTTTAAAATTGATAGTAATAAGCTATACGTTATGAAATGGTGGGTTGTTATTAATGTTATGTATTTCAATTTGCTACTAGGTAACTATACACACCTATTACGTAAAAACTGGCTTATGAGAAATACCTTACAATTTAAACCGAGTGTCCAATATTTCTTTATGTCTACTTGAGTATGACCTGAGCAAACAGTGCTATTTGCTTTAAAGAGAAAATAGGATGTGTTTGCCTTTGTGCAAGAATGAAACTGAAATATTCAAATGTGTTAACCCTTTACTCTCCACCAGTTCAAGAAGGGAAACTGATATATTCAAATGTTTTAAACTTAATATCCGCCGGTACAAGAATGAAACTAATATATTTAATGTTTTAACCCTTTAATCTCCACCAGTAGAAGAATGAAAGTAATATATTTAATGTGTTATCCCTTTAATCTCCACCAGTACAAGAATGAAACTAATATATTTAATGTTTTAACCCTTTAATCTCCACCAGTACAAGAATGAAACTAATATATTTAATGTTTTAACCCTTAATCTCCCCCAGTAACAAGAATGAAAGTAATTTATTTAATGTGTTAACCCTTTAATCTCCACCAGTACAAGAATGAAACTAACATATTTAATGTTTTAACCCTTAAATCTCCACCAGTACTAGAGTAAAACTAATATATTTAATGTGTTAACCCTTTAATCTCCACCAGTACAAGAATGAGCCGTCTTGTTTCGCTGGTGAGTTGTCTCCTGCACCAACATAATAAGTTCCATCATGTCAAGGCCAGAGTTCAACAGTTCTGTGGCTATCCCAGGCAGTTGTCTGCAGGTAAAGTCATCACTTTTGTTTACTGTTGGCTTAAAATTAATGTTTTTTTTTTTAACATATGCTTACTCTTAAAGGTAAAAAAAGAAGTTAATTAATGAAGTTCATTTTTAAAGCCATTGTCAATTAATTACCATGCTAAAACTCTCTTCCTTTGTAATTCTTTTTGTATTAGTTTTTTTTGTGTTAGCATTTTTACTGTGTTCATTATCTAAGTTAAGTTGTAACTGGTAAATGCATTGCGTGCAGTAGGGTAGGGGCTTGGTTGGACATTATTTTGTTACTGATGGAAATCAGTTTAGTATGAAGGAACATTGAATTTTCCTTAAATGTTATAATATTTATAATTTAAGTTAAACTCCTACCTTATTTTCTGTATCCAGTATATTAGAAAAACAAACCTACAAAAGCTAACCAAATGAGCTTTGCTGGCTAAAACAGGATCTGTATTTTTAGAGTGTATTCCTGTGGAAAAAGTTGAAAAAAATACATAGAAATCTATAAATTAAGAGTAAAACTACTAGTTTATTATTATATGCCTATAAATAATACTTTAGTTATAGTGACTGTTTTTTTTTAACAACTGCTAGACATTTGCTCAGATCCACATTAGATCTAGAATTTGATACAGTTTTATTGTTTGATATACATTTAACTCCCTTAGGGGTCATCCATAAATGAAGTCACGCTTTTTTGGACGATTTTTACCTCCCCCCTGCCCTCCGTCACACGTCGTCACAAAAAGCCAGACCCCCCCCCTAAAAATGACATCGCACCTCAGCCTACAACACCCCTCAAGATTGCAGTTGAATTTTTTTTTAAACATCGATATTTTTCTAAAATCTTTTCTGAACTCTGTCAACATAGAGTATCAATTCCAATTCCAATTTATTAAAACAGTTTTCTAAAACGCGAAATAACGTCTAAAATTCGTTTTCTAACGTTGCCTTTTTATAATGCAAAAGTGTGACGTCTGACCCCCCCTCCCCCTCATCACACATCATCACAAAATTACGGACCCCCCCCCCCTCCCCCCTACGTGTGTGACGTCGTTTATGGACGACCCCTTAAACTGTTTACTTTCTGCATATTTTTTTCTTCTATAAAGTATTTAACGGCTATTGTGTACCTACATATGCTGTGGTAGTTGTTGAAAACAATTTAAAAATTCTAAAAGATGAAATATTTTTAAAGCAATAATGTTCTCTGAGCTCATTTCAGACTGTTTTTATCACTGGCTCTGAAAATAAAAGTTCACTTTATCAAAACCTTAACTATAAAAAAAAAGCTGATTAAAAATGATAGAAGGCCACATTTAAATATACCATTAATTAGCAGGTAAGTGTTTAATTATAGATAATGCTGGCACAGCACCTGTTTATGATGTACTTTAGCTAGTGTGACATTGAGATTTTGTTTTCCTAGCTGGACAAGTTATTTAATCAAAACATCTCAACTTGTTTACACTTGTCTGGTGAACTCATAAGGGAAGTAACTCTTATGTTGTTTTTTTTTCACAAGTACTTGTGTCTGTATTATTTTTTATAATCAAAATAGTACTTGACTTATACTGCTATTAGTTTTAAAGCATCCCTACCATTGAAGTCTTAAACAATTTTCTCTTTTAGTCAAACAGTTTAAGTTTTAAATTGTCTTTTTCCCATTATTCATTCTCCTGAAAGTGCTGAAATTATAAATTATTTACTTCCTATTCTCCATGCCACTAAAATTGCACATCAATACTGTATTAATTTTGTTGTTGTTTCCACTAATTATTGTGACAGCCACTGCCCCTAATGACATTTTGTTATCTTTGTGGTTTCCATTACAGAATGTTATGTGAAGCTTAATTAGTTTAATGATAATTAGTTTACCTAATCTGTACAGGTTTTCTATCATGCATGTATTGATGCTCGTGCACTAGTACCTAAGCTATAAATCTAATAGGAAAGCTTGACTGGATATTTGAAAAAAAACTTATACAATTTAATTTAAATTGCATAGTCATTAAGTAAGGCATAGAACAAACCAAGTTTATTAAAAGCCCTGTCATTTCAAACATGGAATGATTATAAAATGGTCAACAACTGAAGATTTTTAAAAAAATATCTTATCTGCTCTGTCCAGTTTGGGCAGGAATGGAAGTAAAAAATGTATCTGTGTGCATGATCTAGATTGCAGCCAATCTCTTGTTATTTCCCTTATCTAGCTTTATGTCAGTATTATGAAAGTTTTCAAACCTTGATTCACATTTTTATTCTTTCATTACATTTAATTTACGCACACGTTAATAGAGGCCTTTAATTTAATGAGAAACTTATTTGATATAGAAAATTAAATTGCTTGTTACAAAAAAATATAGCATATGAATCAGTTTATAACTGCGTTATTACTATTTTAATTAACAAGAAGGTACAAACCTGTTGTCCCACTTGCTCATACACTGCCAACTAGGGCTGTCCCCCTACAAGCCATGCTGTCAACCCATTTTATGTTGCTCTTCAACACCTGTCTCCAGGTGTTTCTTCACCTGTCTCATTTACTTTTACCCAGGTTTCATGTGAGGGCCTGTCTTACTTTGCTGGTGTCTGTTTCCTAAGTGTATAGCCATTCCATTGCCATTTTCTTTGGAGGAATTCATTTATTTGTTTGCTGCGATAGCTATCATGTGCTGCCCTACTTGACTACACACCCCTGTGCTGTTGATAAACAAGCAAATATTCTCTGTTTCAGATATTCAGTATACATCCTTCAGCTTTTGGAGTTAGCAATCATACATTCCTGCAGCTGGTGTTGATGAATGCCTGTATTTTCTATTTATTTCTTTTTAACTAAACCAATCACTATTCTCTACTGCAGGTCTACACTACACTTCCTACAGCTGGTCATCATTTGCAGAGACAGAGCCAGCAGGTAGAAAAAGTTTTGTCCATGAAACACTATGCAGTGCCAGACACAAGAAATCTGCCCAAGAGAAGGCTCAGCTGGTCATCTTTGATAAAGACGGAACTCTGATTTGTTTCCAGACTATGTGGTCGTCTTGGGCTGATAAAGTCATACAAGGGTAAGTAACTGAGCCTTCTGTTCGTGTCTATAGCTATGGTGATGAAGTTTATAAAAAAGTTTTTTCAAATCAAGGATAGCTGTTTAGATGCCCTTAGTAAATAAAATTAAAGAAAATAAATATCTGGAAGTGGGAGATGTACGTAAACATAGAGAACTCTATATCACACATGATTTCAACTCTAAACATTTTGGCATTATGTTGCCAATATATTTAATTTTAGAATATTTTTTTTCTTATGTAGCATTGCTAAAAGTGTAGGCCTGGCAGTTGAGGAGAAGCTGTATAAAACACTGGGTGTTGACCCCAAGACTAAGAGGATATTCCCCGGGCTACTTGCCGAGAAAACCACGGCTGAGATTCAGTCCGTCATCGTCCAGCTGCTGGTCAGTGAGGGCGTGGCTAAGGGCAAGGCCCAGCAGGCTGTGGTGGACAGCTGGCTGGAAGGGGACACAGGGAGAGGAAATGCCGCCAAGTCTATCCACCCTGATATGAGAACCTTGTTCAAGATTTTAAAAGACAATAAAATCAAGGTTAGTAACTCTGGATTTATTTATCTGGCTGTGTACATCAAACAAAGAATTAGTTCCCTTTTTACTCTTAATTTGTCAATATAGAGATCAATGGAGACAGCAGTATAATGTTCTGTATAGTAATGTCAGCTGACGACAGATGACATTGTGAACTCAAGAATGGCCTGCAGAGTTAAGATAAAGACTGGATTAGCTCCTTTATTCAGTCTCAGGCCTATTCGGATTGGAAAGTGATATCTATCTCTCTACCATACCTCCCGTCTTAAAGTCACCAAATCTATAACCTTTATTGTAAAAACATTGGTTTGTTTGGTTTTTTTAATTTGTTTTTATTTAGATATTTTAGGTATTAATGTAATAAAAAAAACTATATTACAATTACAATACTTTAATTTTTTTAAAATTATTTGAATAATTTGTTCGAATTTTTAGAATAATTAAAATTTTCCAAATTGTTAAATATTTTGTCTGGTTAGTAAATAAAACTTTGAATTTTTAAAAACCTTTGGATTAAAATTCCATAAACAAAACAACCATTAAAATATAAATAGTATTAGAAAAAATGAAATAAACTTTTCAAAACCCTCAGTATTTTTTTAAATTTTCTTTACTATTTTTTTGAATTTTCTTTACCATTTTTATATACTTTTTGTTTTGTTTATTAAGAAATTTTTTGCTTCAACAGATTGCCATTTGCACCGCAGACAACAGAAGAGGGACCATGAACACCTTGAAGAACCTGGGACTGTCCCAGTATGTGGACATGGTGGTGTGTGGGGATGACCCATGCACCCAGCCCAAACCCTCCCCTCACAACGCCTGGAAGATTTGTGGCGCCCTTGGAGTGGACCCGCAGGTACATGCACAGACCAACAGAAAATATTTTAAATATCTTTTGCTAATTTAAAAAATACCATCAGGACTAAACAATCACTGCATACACAGGAATAGTGTGGTCAGAGCTAGGCCCAGCCACCTTGGTTTCCTTAATAAGACTCAAGAACCCATCAGAGCTTGGTGAACTCAGGGAAGTTCTAAAGCCCAGGATTTAAAATTAGACTTTCTGGTTAGCAGTTTTGAGTTCTACTATCCTACTGCACTGTCCCCCATGTGTTGTAATGTAAAGTCAAGTTTCCCTTTCAAACCTGACGGTCTATAGGGCAAGTGAAGTAGAGTTCACTTGTTTCTGTGACCTCGGCATATGAAGAGATAGTGTGGTCAGCACTATGCCCAACTGCCTTTACTTTCCCTAACGTGAGTTAGGTACCCATCAGAGTTGGATGGACTCAGGGACAGTCTACTGACTTGAACCCGGATTTGAACTCGAGACTTACAGGTTAGCAGTCCAGCTCTCTACCGCTAGACCACTCCATACCTACTGTGTTGTAATGGATGACTTGTAATTAGTTAAGATTACTATCATGTTGAGTTTCAAAACTTAAACATTTTAACCCTTAGTAAAATCCTGTTTTTTTTAAAAATCTCCAGCTGGCTGCAATGGTTGGCGACACAAAGGCGGATGTAGGGATGGGACACAGTGCCAAGTTGGGCTGGGTTGTGGGGGTCCTCAGTGGTGTGGGGGACACAGCGGACCTGCTGCCTGAAGCTAATTATATCATACAAAAGTAGGTTGTTGGGAGGGAGGAACAGTAGTGTGATTTCAGGTAGTGAATTTACAGATGACTATTTGAGTTTTTTACTGATCTGAAATTTCTGATCCCGCAACATTTTCTATGTGAACACAAGACAATAAATGACGTTTATAGTAATCAAATCTCCAATGATTCCCAGCGCTTTCCTGTGACAAACTCGTTGTCTTTGTTGGTTTTGTTACACGTACTAGCAGCACAGAACTTACACTTAAGTCCAATCTCAGCGGAATATTCGAAGATGGTATCTAATTCAGCTGAAACATTCTTTGAAACTGGCATACCGGTGGTTACTTTAACTTTTAACCATTCCAGTTTAAACAAATCTCTCGCTTTCTTGTGCTGTCATGTTTTACCGCTTGTTACACACATTTTTCTTTTCAACAATTTCAAATAGCACACAATATTTGACTTTTATTCCTTATTTACCAAACCAGTCTGTGAACACTGAAACAGTTCGATCCACGTGTACGTAATAGTTACAAGAATCTGATATATAATATATAAATATCCTTAAACAGAGCAAAATTTTCTAGTGCATATAGCTCGTTTATGATATTGATAATCTGTGCGCGGGATCAGAAAATGACTGCTCAGCATATTTGTAAGTACTGCGCGACCGCACAGCTTTGAGGGGAAAAAGGCCTTTGTGCCTACTGTTGTTACCGTTATTGAATAAATAAAAAAAGAATAAATTAATTAATTAAAAAATTTAAAGTTAGAAAAGAAATAAACAATTTTGTCTGTATAATTTTTCACAAGTGTAAAAGATCTCCTCCCACTCATCCTCCCGTACAACGACTGGGTCAACTGTTACACGTACACATCTCATGAGCGCGTACTGCGGGAGCCTCTAGACTTGGTTTGCGCAGAGAAGCCGGTGGTTGAGATCAACCTGGACAAGTACGAAGTGGTCATCTTTGACCTCCATGGGACTCTGGTCTGCTCGGACAAAAAATATTTCACCTGGCTGGAGAAGCTGTCCGACAGGTGAGTCTTGTGGGGAGGGGATCATGTGGTTATGTGTGGAGAAACTGTCAGACAGGTAAGTCTTGTGGGGAGGGGATCATGTGGTTATGTGTGGAGAAGCTGTCCGACAGGTGAGTCTTGCGAGGAGGGGATCATGTGGTTAAGTGGTAGAGCATCTGCTTGCTAACACAAAAGCTTAGAGTTCAGTTCCTGAACAAACTCCTTAAAGAAAATTAACTCGTTAGACCAGACAGATACTATTGTCAAAAATCTACATGGAGGTTGACTGATATAATTCAGCTTTTTAAAAAAAATGCTCTAAGACAAGTAACCACAAATAACATTCTAATAAATATTTAACAAAATTCACCAGACTTGAAAAAGCAATAGGATCAAGTAATCACAAATAACATTCTATTAAATATCTAACAAAATTCACCAGACTTGAAAGCAAGACGGGGATGAAGCTGGCGTCTTTGATCTACTCGTACCTGGGAGGTTCGGCCGACACAAAGGAAGTCCACACAGGAATCTTGGAGCAGGGCTCACATGCCCAGCTGAAGGAGGCTCTAGTGAAACTACTCAGGCAGGAGGGCTTTCATTACGAGGAGGCCATCATTACAGTCAATCAGGTAAAAAAAAGTCAAACTTGGTTCCAAGGTATTCCATACTTTCATTTTGAGGAGGCCATCATTACAGTCAATCAGGTAAAGAAAAGTCAAATCTGGTTCCATGGTATTCCATACTTCCATTATGAGGAGGCCATCATTACAGTCAATCAGGTAAAGAAAAAGTCAAACTTGGTTCCATGGTATTCCATACTTCCATTATGAGGAGGCCATAACAGTTAATCAGGTAAAGAAAAGTCAAACCTGGTTCCATGGTATTCCATACTTTCATTTTGAGGAGGCCATCATTACAGTCAATCAGGTAAAGAAATGTCAAACTTGGTTCCATGGTATTCCATACTTTCATTACGAGGAGGCCATCATTACAGTCAATCAGGTAAAGATAAGTCAAACTTGGTTCCATGGTATTCCATACTTTCATTTTGAAAAAGTCTGAAAGAAACACTGTCGGTGGCCAACAACACCCTCGAGGTCCAAGTTTGCTCTCAAATTATTCTTCACGTATTTCAATCTTGAAAATATTTGTTCACACATGTATCTTGTTCAAAATTTGAAAGGTACTTTGATGCAAAAGTTTTAATATTAAGAAAATCTTCCTTTTGCAAAAACTTATAAAAACCCACCAGCCCTTCTTTGAATGTGTCTCTAATGACCTCCAGCTGCAGTTCATCTTTGCAACTGGCCACATTCTGAAACAGTCTCAATTTTTTACTGCCTTTGAATCCAAGTCATAAAATCGCTACTGAAACTGCAGCTTGAAGTCTTTGATGATCTCGTATGCAAATGATTTGGGGAACTAAGTGTTTGCTTCAGCCGTAAAGACCTTGCACTACTGAGAGTGCGTCAAGTTGTTGGCTTGTACTTTTTGCAAAAACATGACCTGAAAGCCTTTAGGTGGGTGTATAGATCAGAAACTAAATTTCCATCTCTTGTAGTTTAAGTTTAGAAATTTTAAATGACTAGTTATGTTTGCAGCAGAGGCCAATTTCTATGCCCACTCTTCATCAGACAGTAAGTACATCAGATTGTGGCTTGCTTTTACTTTCAAAGAAGTCACCTATTTCCTTTCTTAACTTAAATACTCTTCTGAGAAAAATTTCTCGCAAATTAGTCATCTTACTGCTGTGAAATACAGTAAATCTTGCGATTCTGTGTTTCTATCTTTTAACATGTATCTGAACTATCTATATTCTCTCCGGTAACAGTGCCACACATTCTATGTAGGGAAGCCAGCTCTTGTGTTATGTTTATGTCTTCATCCACACCTCAAATGAACACAAGCAGCTGAGAAGTCGAACAGCTGTCCAGTAACTAATCCATTACAATTAAAAAATTGTGAAACGTGCTTGCATTTTTCGCTATTTGAGTCAAGATGTTTTCACCAATGTCTGCAACACGGCGGGCAATGGTATTTGCACCCAAAGCTACATTTTCAAATTGTTTTGAATTTTCTGGGCAAAGTTTCTCAGCTACCTCTAACAAACATTTATTCCGTGGACAAAAAGATCGCCGAGGGCCAGATAAGAAGACCTTGCGGGCCGTATCTGGCCCGCGGGCCGTAGTTTGGAGACCCCTGGACTAAAATAACCAACTATTTATTTCCAGGCTTTCAAAGACTGTGAAGAGACCTTCAAAGTTGCAGACGTTGTCTCCCTTGATAAAGACGTCAAAATCTTGTTCCATACGCTGAAGGATAACGGGGTGAAGATTGCCATCAACACGTCAGAGACGAGAGAAACTGCCGTCGCTGATTTGAAGGCCATTGGCCTGACGTCATGTGTGGACATGATGGTGTGCGGAGATGACCCAATGTCCCGCATGAAGCCAGACCCCCACAACGCCATCTTGATAGCGGAGGAGATGGGAGCCAAGCCAGAGAAGGTTGTTGTGGTGGGGGACACCAAGGAGGACATCTCAATGGGTCTCAGTGCTAAGGTAAGAACACTTCAATAGCTCTTCAACTTCTGAAGTTTAAATGTTATTTTAAGTTAAACAAAAAAAACAACTACAGTATGATGAACAGAAATATTTTTTAAAGTAATAATCCTGTTTATTGCTAATTAAAAAAGTCTGGCATCCTTGCAGAACTAATGAGGGTTGATAAAGTAGATTTTGTCTGGTTAAGAGATTATTTACTCAGTACTGTGCCCAGCAGCCTTAACTTTCTTATACTTAAAATAAGTGTCCATCATTGCTGACTGGATTCAGAATAATCAATCTCTGTACCCTTTCAGACCAGAAGGTCCGTGGGGCTGATAAAGTAGAGTAATTCTGTTTCTCTGATCTTGGCCTATGTAGTTTTAGTAAGATCAGCATTATGTCTAGCCAGTTCAGACTAAAAGCCGGAAAACAATACAAAAAACCAAATATAACAAATAAACAAATAAAAGTTTAAATTAAAAAATTTAACATTAAGAATTTACAAAGTTGTAAATAGTGATTGCTCCTTACTGCAATGTCTGATGGTATTTATCTTTCCAGGTCGGCCTGACCATTGGTGTGTTAACTGGCGTTGGGACACACACGGACCTGGTGCAAGCTGACCATATAGTGCCCAGTGTCAGTGAGATACTGTACCACATGAGCTGCCACAAGGACGCATCCCAGACGTCACCTCCCCACACCTCAGCACCCCACACCTCACCACCTCACTCCCCATGCCACCAAACTCGGCATTACTCCACACTTTCCCCTGCTAGACGAAGAAATCAACCAAACACTATACAAAGCCCACCTTCACTAATCCAAGGCTTAACACGACCCAAGTATGACTACATCATTGTTGGTGCCGGCTCAGCCGGTTGCGTTCTAGCTAACCGCCTCACTGAGGATGGGAAATCAACCGTCCTGCTCATAGAAGCCGGTCCTAGGGACAACTCGTGGAAAATTCACATGCCAGCTGCGCTCATGTACAACTTATGTGATGACCAGTATAACTGGTTTTATCATACGGAACCGGAACCGCATATGAACAACCGGGTGATGTACCAGCCTAGAGGTAGGGTGTGGGGAGGGAGTTCCTCACTCAACGCTATGGTTTACATTCGAGGTCATGCATTTGATTACGACAGATGGGAGAAAGAAGGTGCTGACGGCTGGGCCTACGCTGACTGCCTGCCTTACTTTCGTAAAGCACAAGACCACGAGCTGGGTGGTAACGAATATCGAGGTGATTCCGGACCTTTAAAGGTGACTCGTGGTAAGACGAATCACCCGCTTCATCAGGCATTTATAGAAGCAGGGCAGCAGGCTGGGTATCCATTCACAGATGATATGAACGGGTACCAACAGGAGGGGTTTGGGTGGATGGATATGACAATATTCAGTGGCAGAAGGTGGAGCGCTGCCACCGCCTACTTGCTGCCTGCTACTGTCAGGAAGAACTTGGACACGTTGACTAAAACAATAACGACAAGAGTTCTGTTTTCTGGGCAGCGAGCTATCGGAGTAGAGATTGATCAGGCAGGAATGCTGGAAACTATTGAGGCAGAGAAGGAGGTTATTCTGTGCGGTGGGGCATTCAACTCTCCCCAGCTGTTGAGTTTATCCGGGGTCGGGGACGGCGATCTTCTTAAATCCCTGGACATCCCAGTTGTCCAGCACTTGCCAGGTGTTGGCCAGAACCTGCAGGACCACCTGGAAACCTACGTCCAGCAAGCCTGCACCAAGCCGGTCACCTTGTACTCCGCACAGTGGAAGTACCCACACAACATGATTCGCATCGGCGTGGAGTGGTTCCTCCACCAAACAGGATACGGAGCAACCGCTCATCTAGAATCTGGAGCTTTCATACGTAGCAGAGGAGGACTCCAACACCCAAATATTCAGTATCACTTTTTGCCTTCAACTGTTGTTGACCACGGTAGAAAAATTGGACCGTGCCATGCGTACCAAGTCCATGTGGGACCTGAGAGACCCACCTCTCGCGGTAGTGTCACCATCAGGTCTAAGAATCCAAAAGACCACCCAAAAATCATTTTTAATTATCTCTCCACGCCTGAAGATGTTGAAGAGTTTGCAGAAAGCATCAAGCTGACCCGTGAAATCTTTGCCCAGAAAGCTTTTGATGAGTTTCGTGGGAGAGAACTCCAGCCTGGCCCTGACGTCACCAGTGACAAAGACATTGAAGCTTTTCTTAGAAAAATGGGCGACACCGCCTATCACCCCTCCTGCACATGCAAGATGGGAGCTGTGACTGACCCCATGGCGGTTGTGGACTCCAGCTGTCGTGTCATCGGCTTAGAAGGTCTGCGTGTCGTCGATGCCTCTGTCATGCCTTCAGTCGTCACTGGCAACCTCAATGCACCAACCATCATGATAGCGGAGAAGGCGGCAGATATAATCCGAGGCAGAGATCCTCTCCCCAAGTCTAGTGCACCTGTGTGGCAGCCTAAAGACCCCAGTAAACAGAGGTAAAAGTTCTTGTATGCTTTGTGCTGCTTAGTTAAGTGAGTTCCACTAGGAAGCATTAGTTTATTTATTAGATGTGTTCAACTTGTCTACATTTTCATCTCACATTTCTGAAATCAAGGATAAATTAACTTAATCTATGAGTTAATGAATTTAATATTGCTTAAATTAATTATTATGCTTCACTGATTATGCAGCCCCACGAAAATGTTTTCAAACAAAGCAGTATTGTCAAACATTTCATGTTTTGACCTTAGGTTTTTTTTCCAAATGAAATTTTTTATAAAAATACAAGATTTAAAATCTTATAAAAAAAAAAAACTTTAACTTTAACAAAAATGTGGAAATTTAACTTGCCTTTACATTATCTCCATTGTTTACTTGAAAAATTACTTTAAGTGTGATGATAGTTTTCTATTGTTATATTATTGAGTAAATTCTTTATAAAAGATTGTTAGACCTATCTATATACTCAGTATATACATTTAAAAAGTTTGGTTAGATTTAATGCAATTTTAATTTTCTTTATCTCAAATGTTTTAAGAATACATATCTTAACTGTTCTTTCTTATTGTGATAATGGTATTAGTGCTTAACTAAGACTAAACATATCTTATTGTAATGAGCTTTAGTAACTGTTTTGTTAAAGTCAAGGTTTGACATTTGTTTATGTATCTGTATAATACTATTTCAGTAGGACATTCTTATGTTGTTACATTAGTCCTGCTACTTGCTCTTTAAACAGAAGCGTGGCCATGGTGCATAAAAGAAATATGTTTTAAACTATTTTACGATGCTAAATCTCAGAATTCGTTTGAATTGCCTTTTTACATTTCCTTTTGTTTTAAAATTATTTTTTTAAAATCATGGAACTGAATACCCTGTTAATCTCTTCTCAATATTATTTGTATGAATATTCTTCTTATAATTTATTCACTTATATATTTCTTTATGGCTATACATTGCTGTTCTGTGATTATTTCATTTTTTTAATATATTTTTTTAAATTTTATTTTTTGTTGTGTGATATTTGTGAATGTTTAAAATGTGTAACAACACCCCTCCCCCATGTAAACATTATGCACATCCCTGATCATATATTTTTGAATAATGTTTCTATACCATTTTGGTAAATAAAACTAGATGATTTCATTTTCTTATTCAGATCTTTTTTTTTAAAAAGTTGAATTACATCTAGCCAAAAATAGATGGTTGATAATTTAAAACTTTAATTATGACAGTGCCAATCAATAAAAAGTATTTATTGTAAAATGTGTTCATGATTTATTTTTATATAGATGTTTTGTTTTATTTTTGTTTCATTATTTCCAAAATAACTTTATCAAATTGTGTCAATTAGCCAGTGAATCAATGACATGCAGTAGCCACTGGATTGAATAGCCTTTATAGTAGGTAACTATTGGTGAGTGGTAGCCACTGGCATGATTGGTGTGAGGTCAAGCAGATTGAATATCCATTGCTTTTGTTAACTCATGCTGTGAGATAGCCACTAGATTGGGTGGAAATTGTAGCAGTTAATAATGTAGCCCATAGTGTGACGTCAGATAGGGACTAGATGGAGTAGCCATTGTAGTAGGTATCTCATGGCATGATGTAGCCTCCAGATTAGGTAGCCATTGTAGTAGAGCATCCACCGACTACACCCAATGAAAAGACCTCACCAATCTGCAACCATTGTCAATGCATAACACTGGTCTGCTGGTCTGGCACTAGTTATCCTGAGTTAATCTCTCCAGGTGCCCAGGTTGGCATTTAATACCAGCCTGTTTTATAAAAAAAAATTATCGTCTGCTTCTTCTCTTCTACAGTATCATTAGGTAAAAACTGCTAAAAATTTGAAACGCTGATTTTTTGTTGAGGTCGTTTGCTAGCATCAAGTTTTTATACTGGTACGGTAATGGTAAAGTTGTGGTGCAGATGGTGAGATTGTCATACAGATGGTGCAGATGGAGAGATGATGGTGCAGATGGAGAGATGGTGGTGCAGATGGAGAGATTGTCATACAGATGGTGAGATGGTGGTGCAGATGGTGAGATGGTGGTGCAGATGGGGAGATGGTGAGATTGGCATACAGATGGAGAAATGGTGGTGCAGATGGAGAGATGGTGGTGCAGATGGAGAGGGGGTGGTGCAGATGGTGACATGGTGGTGCAGATGGTGACATGGTGGTTCAGATGGGATGGTAGTACTAAAGAGTGAGATTGTGGTTTGGATGAGAAGGTGAATTGCTATAAACGGCTTATCCAATTGTGAAATATGACTTCATGATGGATTTAAATGGTGATACAGCTGGGATGGCAAAATGTAAAACATGTAGGATTTCATTGTCTTTGACCTGCCTCCCTAGCCATGGACATAACTTATCTATGAACTGCCTCTCTACGACCTTAACATGAAATAACCGGTACTAACACCACACTGTCCGCCCCTCCTCCACACCCAGCAACACCCAGTTCACCAGAGCTGGCTTCCTTCAACTCTATTTTGTTTACAATTTTACAGTGTAACTAACAGCAGATCAGCTTACCTGCCAAACATTTAGCTGTTTCCCATGTTATGGGATACTTTTCTCAGGGTGAGTGATTCAAGCATTTTTTGCTAGACTCTAAATAAAAGATATCCTTGCTAACACCCACACGAAGAATTCAGTTTCAAAACATTTATTGGAAGCATTGTTTATAATAATTTACATCATATGTACATACACACATCACAAATAAAAAATACACTAATAGATATAGATATATATATATATATGTATATATATATATATATATATGTATATATATATATGTATATATATATATATATATGTATATATATATATATATATATATATATATATATATATATATATATATATGCAGTTGTATTTATTTGTATATGAAATGAACATACATCAAAGAAACAAAAAAGGAATTAAGATATATAAATATATATATTTATATGTATATATATATATATATGCATCAAATATTTAAAATGACCAGTTTAAATCAAATGTATACAAAAGTAGCCGAGCGCACATCTGCAAAACTTGCGTAAGCCGTGTGCCATACACAGAAACATCCATTGTCAAGCTGGGCCTATAGCCCTACATGTATAGAACAAGATGATGACCACTGACCACTTAGCTCGTGTTGGTCAAGATTTAGGGGACGACCAGTAGATGGCTTTAAACTCTGTTGTGGTAAAAAACCAAGGGAAACAACTCATGATTATTTACATTTTTTTTTTAAACTTACATTTTTAAGTACAATTTTTAAAAGGTTAAATCAGTAAACTTAACAATTAAAAAAAAATTAGTAAACAAGAAACAACTTAAGCAGTACATGAATAAAATAAATTGTCTTAACTATCAGTTTATTAATTGATGACTACCTTTTAGTGCAACCTTTACATATAACTACAATTCGGACTAACATTTCACTAAAAAAATACCTTTTGTTAATAATTATAAACAACTAGGCATACTGCCTAGCTTCGCTTAGGTTTTCAAAAACATTTGATAATTTGAATAGTAATTATTAGGTGATGGATGAGGCGTGGAGTGCTTAAATGTAAACAGTAATGCTAATTTTAGAGAAGATGTTGTATGCCTATGCCAGGGGTCGGCAACCTGCGGCTCGCGAGCCGCATGCGGCTCTTTTGATATCAAGATGCGGCTCTCCAGCTCCTTGAACAAATACTAATAATCTTAATAAAAAATAAAATATATGACATAAAAAAATGTTAGTGGCTCTTTAAAGCCAGGAAAATTTTGAAAATTGTAACTTTTGGCTCTTCCGCTTCAAAAGGTTGCCGACCCCTGGCCTATGCTCTTTAACATCAGCTTTCAGAGAAAATGTTCGAAAGTACGCAATTTATAACTAAGATGGAAATAGAACTACAGAGGTTCCATGAACAGTATATCTCATTATTTATATTACATTGACTTTTAAAATTAATTTTTTATTTAATTATGATACGTAGCTTAATTAATAACTTATTTTTATCAAACACAAATGCTATACTTTGTTGTTTTCTGTTTCTGTTTAAAATAGTATACAATTATTTGAAAAATAATTATTTAAAAAGGTTACCTCCCTTGGAAATTAACCGAATGACGTATCTCTGTGTTTACTTTTTTTTTAAACAAACAGTTACTATGCTTATATAAGAAAATACGATATATAAACATATTTAACGACTACAATAGCTTTTTCCGACGGGAATAAAGTTTTTTTGTTACCCTCCAGGGTCGGTCTACGACCTCAAATAATATTAACGGGATCGATCGTCAAATTATTTATAAATATCTCATATAAGGAGAATTTCACTCGCGGTCATCTTTTAGCACTGGTCGAGGGCTTTGAGTCTGACCAACAGTTTTTCCATACGGCCTAGTCATCTATAGAAGTGTATGCAAAACATTAGCATGATGTACAGAGGTTAAGTAGCGTAAAAATTGTGTTGAAATTACCCTGTTTTTTCCATAAAATACAAAGGTTATATAGGGAAATACGACTGGTCAGTTTTGACCCATTTCCCGATTTTTCCCGGACATGGCGAGTTTTTTGTGATACCCCTAGGTGTTCTTCTACCACCTCACAAAATATCAAGGGGGGTCGTCGGAGGAAATTTTTTTTCGTAATAGAGCTCATATAAAGAGAATTTCACTCGCGGTCACTTTTTAGCCCTCGTCGAGGGCTTTGAGTGTAACCTACAGTTTTCCCTAAAGGTCAAGCCATTGACCCATGAGCATGCAAAACATTAGCCAGATATACTGAGCTTAAGTACCCTAAAGTCTGCGTTGAAATGACCCTCTGTTTTTCCCATAAAATACAAAGATTATATAGGGAAATACAACTGGTCAGTTTTGACCGCTTTACGAAGTTTTCCCAGATATGCCGAGTTTTTTGTGACACCCCAAGGCGTTCTCCTACCACCTCACAAAATATCAAGGGGGGTCGTCGGAGGAAATTTTTTTTCGTAATAGAGCTCATATAAAGAGAATTTCACTCGCGGTCACTTTTTAGCCCTCGTCAAGGGCTTTGAGTGAAACCGACAGTTTTCCCTAAAGGTCAAGCCATTGACCTAAGAGTATGCAAAAAAAATAGCCAGATATACTGAGTTTAAGTAACCTAAAGCCTGCGTTGAAATGACCCTCTGTTTTTCCCATAAAATACAAAGATTATATAGGGAAATACGACTGGTCAGTTTTGACCCATTTCCCGATTTTTCCCGGACATGGCGAGTTTTTTGTGACACCCCAAGGCGTTCTCCTACCACCTCACAAAATTTCAAGGGGGGTCGTCGGAGGAAATTTTTATTCGTAATAGAGCTCATATAAAGAGAATTTCACTCGCGGTCACTTTTTAGCCCTCGTCGAGGGCTTTGAGTGAAACCGACAGTTTTCCCTAAAGGTCAAGCCATTGACCTAAGAGTATGCAAAAAAATAGCCAGATATACTGAGTTTAAGTACCCTAAAGCCTGCGTTGAAATGACCCTCTGTTTTTCCAATAAAATACAAAGATTATATAGGGAAATACAACTGGTCAGTTTTGACCCACTTCCCGATTTTTCCGAGATATGCCGAGTTTTTTTTGACACCCCAAGGCGTTCTCCTACCACCTCACGAAATTTCAAGGGGGGTCGTCGGAGGAAATTTTTTTTCGTAATAGAGCTCATATAAAGAGAATTTCACTCGCGGTCACTTTTTAGCCCTCGTCGAGGGCTTTGAGTAAAACCGACATGTCTGCCCTACGGTCAAGCCATTTACCTATAAGCATGCCAAAACTTAGCCAGATGTAAAGAAAGTAAGTGCCCTAAAATCCGTTTTGAAATGACCCTCTGTTTTCCCCATAAAATACAAAGATTATATAGGGAAATACGACTGGTCAGTTTTGACCCCTTTACGAAGTTTTCCCAGATATGCCGAGTTTTTTGTGACACCCCCAGGCGTTCTCCTACCACCTCACAAAATATCAAGGGGGGTCGTCGGAGGAAATTTTTTTTCGTAATAGAGCTCATATAAAGAGAATTTCACTCGCGGTCACTTTTTAGCCCTCGTCGAGGGCTTTGAGTGAAACTGACAGGTCAGCCGTACGGCCAAACCATTTACCTATAAACATGCCGAAAATTAGCGACATGTAAAGAGGGTAAGTGCCCTAAAATCCGTTTTGAAATGACCCTCTGTTTTTCCCATAAAATACAAAGATTATATAGGGAAATACAACTGGTCAGTTTTGACCGCTTTACGAAGTTTTCCCAGATATGCCGAGTTTTTTGTGATACCCCTAGGTGTTCTTCTACCACCTCACAAAATATCAAGGGGGGACGTCGGAGGAAATTTTTTTTCGTAATAGAGCTCATATAAAGAGGATTTCACTCGCGGTCACTTTTTAGCCCTCGTCGAGGGCTTTGAGTGTAACCGACAGTTTTCCCTAAAGGTCAAGCCATTGACCTAGAAGCATGCAAAAAATTAGCCAGATATACTGCGCTTAAGTACCCTAAAGTCTGCGTTGAAATGACCCTCTGTTTTTCCCATAAAATACAAAGATTATATAGGGAAATACAACTGGTCAGTTTTGACCCCTTTACGAAGTTTTCCCAGATATGCCGAGTTTTTTGTGACACCCCAAGGTGTTCTCCTACCACCTCACAAAATTTCAAGGGGGGTCGTCGGAGGAATTTTTTTTTCGTAATATAGCCCATATAAGGCGCCGGTCAGTCGAGGTCAGTTTTGACCCCCTCTCCGTAGACTTTTTGCCGAACCGTCACCGGCCCTCGTGTTCTATCGCCATAAGGCACCTTCGTGCCAAATTTGACGCGCCTGCGGCGCCGGGAAGTGCCCTATCGGGCACCCGACCACTTTGCTTTATATATATAGATTACTCATAAAGTTTGAAAACTATTTTACCTGAATAATCCACTTTGCCATCTTTGTTTGTGTCGGCTTCTATAACCATTTCTCGAGCCTCAGCCTATAAGGTTATACGTGAATAGTGAATCTTAATACGTGAATAGTCAAACGTGAATTGTCAAAAGTGAATAGTTAAAAGAGAATCGTAACACTAAAATAGTGAATCATAACAAGTGAATGCAGTGTTTCTTCCAGACTTTTTTCTCCGGGGGGGGGGGGGGGGGGCGGTAGACTTTCTTCTGGGGGGGGGGGGGGGCGGACACTGTTAAAAGTATATATTTTCTATATAAATTATATACATATTTCGTTCGGGGGGGCGGGGGGGGGTAGAATTTTTTCGGGGGGGGGGGGGGGGGGGGGGGCGAAGAGATGCCTGAGTGAATAATCAAAAGAGAATCGTAACACTAAAATAGTGAATCATAAAACGTGAATCGTAAAAAAGGAAATTATAAAACATGAACGGTAAATAGCGGACCAAGACGCAACTTGTTTGTTATTTTAATCATGGGAAAAATTACCAACTATAGCTTGGCCTGAGTGGTCATCCTCTCCCCCACTCTTTCTTTTATTATTATATCAGACTGGTATCGCAGATTAGTTTACATGCACCCAGAGGCGTAGCGACCCTTCCCGGCGCCCAGGGACAAACTTTCGATTTGCGCCCCCTCAAACTTTCGATTTGCACCCCCCCCCCTCAAACTTTCATTTTGATTTTCCAAATTTTTCAACCCATTTTGTTCCCCCCCCCCCCCCCCCCCCCCCCCGCCCCCTCTGCAATCACCCCCCCCCCCCACCCCCCATGCTCGCCGATTAAACGGTTAGAGGCGTAGCGACCCATTCCGGCGCCCGGGGCGAACCATCCATGTTGCGCCTCTCACGCTCATTTTTATATATATATATATATATATATATATATATATATATATATATATATATATATATATATATATATATATATATATATATATATATATATATATACTAGCCGTCCCGGCCAGGCCCTGCTCTGGCTTCTGTGAAAAACCTTTCCGTTAAAGACCATTACCTGTGTGTTTAGTAATCATCATAAACCCGGCATTGCCCACCCAAACCACAACCAACCAAAACAACAAAACGCAAACATAACGCTAACACAATTAGAAATACAAACGAAAACAAAAACCTAACAACAAACCCAACCACAACCACAAACACCAATACAAACACAAAGAAAAAACAAACGAAAACAAAAACCTAACAACAAACCCAACCACAAACACCAATACCAAAACAAAAAAACGAAAAAGCAAACGAAAACAAACCAAATCCAAACGCAAAACCAACCAAAAACACAAATACAAACCCAAACAAAAAAAAAACAAAAACGAAAAAAGAAAGAACAAAAACGAACCAAATCAAAACGCAACCACTAACGCAAACCCACCTAAACACAAAGAAAACACTAACGCGAACATAAACGCCCGGGGCAGAATCGCCTGTTTTAGCTTAATAAACGACTATAGTACCCCAACTTATTCATAGTTTTTGCACTCACTTAAACGAACGCGCCTGTTTCAATTTAATGAACAATTATAATACTCCAAGCTTATCCGTAAAATACCTAAAACATTTGCACTTGATCAATCCCCGCTAATTATGTAATTATTTTTTTTCCCAACACCAAAACAAAGTAATTAAAAAGTAAATGCTTTTCAACTAATGCAATGGGTTTCATAAAGGGAAGTAATTGTGTTTTGCCTAATTTATTAAAGGGAAGTAAGCGCTATAGGACTAAATAAAAACATAATTAGAATTTTTGTAAAAGATGATATTTGTTTTAAAACTTGTGTTTACTGAACATGCCGACAATTATTACTATAATTTAAAAAATGAAAATGATTTCCCAACACTTTTAATAGTAATTTTTTAACTCATAAATTTAGACAAACGCGCACGATAATTGATCTAACACTTAAATCCGTAGAAATGCCAACGACAAACATGTGCGTTATAGAATTGAGCTTTATATATATACTAGCCGTCCCGGCCAGGCCCTGCTCTGGCTTCTGTGAAAAACCTTTCTGTTAAAGACCATCATCTGTGTGTTTAGTAATCATCATGAACCCGGCATTGCCCACCCAAACCATAACCAACCAAAACCAAAACAACAAAACGCAAACATAACGCTAACACAATTACAAATACAAACGAAAACAAAAACTTACAACAAACCAACCACAACCACAAACACCAATACGAACACAAAGAAAAAAGCAAACGAAAACATCCAAACGCAAAACCAACCACAAACACATATACAAACCCAAATAAAAAAACACAAACGAAAAAGCAAACGAAAACAAACCAAATCCAAACGCAAAACCAACCACAAACCCAAAGAAAAAAACACAAAAGAAAAAACAAACGAAAACAAACCAAATCCAAACGCAAAACCAACCTCAAACACAAATACAAACACAAACCCAATGAAAATAAAACACAAACGAAAACGAAAAAAGAAAGAACAAAAACGAACCAAATCAAAACGCAACCTCTAACGCAAACCTAACCTAAACACAAAGAAAACACTAACGCGAATATAAACGCAAAGTGCTCACGGGGCTGAATCGTCTGCTTCAACTTAATAAACGACTATAGTACCCCAACTTATTCATATCTTTTGCACTCTCTTTAATGAACGTAGGCGCGAAACCGAACACGGGAGGCCCGGGACCCCAAAAAGCACCCTGTCTGGGCGCCAGAGGACGCACCATGACGTCACCGCCTGATTGAACTTAGTAAACGCCTATAGTGCATAACTTATTCATAGTCTTTTGAACTCACGCGAACGTATATACCATAGCTAACACGAGAAGGCCCGGGGCGCCAAATAGCACCCTTTCGGGGTGCCGGAGGACGCCCGGATTTGATTCACTTAAAGACTATAGTAACCTTTCTTATCCATAGTCTATCGCACTGTTAAAAACAAAACTATGCAGCATAGCGCTCACATGATAGCCCAGGGTGCCAAATCGAACCGTGCAAGGGCGCCGGCGGACGTGCCTGTTTCAATTTAGTGAACAAAAATGATAATACTCCAAGCTTATCCGTAAATGGAAAGAAATAAACGTATAGGATTTGTAGGACCTGGCTTATTAAATGTTATTGATTTAAAAAAAAATATTGAACAGTATGTTCGGTGTATAGAATAAATAAAAGGCAGTGTTAAAAATACCTAACGACATTGCACTTAATCAATCCCCGCTAATTATGTAATTATTTTTTTTTCTTAACACCAAAAACAAAGTAATAAAATGTAAATTCTTTCTTCTTAAGAATTTTTTTTATTAAAGGGAAGTAACTGTGCAGTCAATACATTTCCGACACAATTTTAGAAATTTTATAAACGTCGATACCCTTTTTAAAAATTTTATGTCGTGTTCATAATTGAAAATTATTTTTCTAAGTAAATAGAGTGAGAATTGTTTTTAAAGACTTTCAATGGTAATTTTTTGACTCGTAAATTTAGACTATGAGCACGATAAAAAATCTAACACTTAAATCCATAGAACTGTCAACGACAAACTTTTTTGCCACACGTTACAGAACTGAGCTTTATATATTAGATATATATATAGTTATTCAAGTTGGTGAACTCCCCCCCCCCATCCAAACAATTGGAAAGGTATGTGGCGCTTTTAACCACACACTATTCATTAAGGTTTCTATTGTGGTGATTCACAATTAATGTCTAATTGTATATATAATTCAAACCCCTACTTAAAATAAGCTTTTTTTAAAAACCCTTTTTGGTGCCCCCTTAGGGGTCGGCGCCCGGGGCGGCCGTCCTACCCGCCCTCCCCTAGCTACGCCACTGTAAACGGTACAGTATATATGCAAAGGCGCCAATACTATACATAGGTCAAATGGGGACGAATGAACCAAGCCCCGCCCTTTGCCACTAATTAACCCTTTGAGCCCGCTAGGCCGGTAAACCGGCTTCAACATTAGGCATATATGTCCGAAAAGCCGGTTTTCCGGCCCGATGATCTAGCGTCATATTCCTAGCGGCCGGCATACCGTCTAATTAAATATAATTAGCGGAAGACTGACTAAAACTGCGCATATGTCTTTTGAGTGCGGGATTATGATTTTAAAAATTGATTTTTAGGAAAAGTGAAAGTGAAAGTGTTTACATTTCTTAGCAATGCCGCCGAAACGAAAAGCTGAGCCACAGCCGTCGACTTCATCACATAAAGTTGGTGAAAAAGATGAAGCAAAAGACCGAAATATCAACAAAAGAAGTAGAATGACTGCATCTCAGGCAATACAACTACTTATTGATTCTGATGAAGAAGATAATAATCCTTGTCTATATTGTGATGATAGTGACGTTGAATTTGAAACTGAACACAAAGACATTAAAATTGACAGTGACAATGAAACTGTTCAAGTACGTTCTGATGCACGCGGTGTCAAGGACAAAGACTTGCCGAAACTAAAAAGAAAATGTTTACTTGTGCAAAACATGCGAAGTTTTTCTTTGCATCGGGTCCGGCAGTGATAACTGTTTTGAAAGTTATCACACAAAAGTGGACTTCTGGCGATGAACTAGTATGGCCAGGTATCAATAATAACAAAACAATTACTAATTGTAAATTGGTTTCTTCTATATTCTATAAAAAATAATGTGTTCGTTTTATATACATTGTTCTGTTCAAACATAGTAAAAAAAAAAAAAGAATTTCAGAATCTTGCTGCATTGTTGTTTGATCCTGAGTTTGGATACCAAATTTGGCTTGATTATCTCAAACGGTTCAAAAGTTATAGGCAAAGATAGAAGCAGATAAGTGAACATTTGGTTTGGCCCTGGGAGCTCAGGAAATGGGAGAAATTAGGTCAGGGAGGCCCGGGCTCAAAGGGTTAACTTATATATCTTGTATTGTGTGATTTACCAGCGTGATTTTTTCCCCGAGTTTCCTCAAGACGTTGAAGAGTTCCTCCGGTGAAATGAAGCCGTCGTGGTTCCCGTCAAAAGCCTTGAAGACTTCCCGGAGCTCGGCCTCTGGGTCCATTGTGACCTTCCGTGCGAAGATGTCGACAAACTCTTCAAAGTCAATGGTGCCACTTCCTGCAGGTGGAAAGGTGACTTGAGAGGCTGGTGGAGGCTTGGGGGTGATCATGAATTGGTGATATGGTGTAAAAGGTGATCATGGATTGGTGACATGGTGTAAAAGGTGATTATGGATTGGTGACATGGTGTAAAAGGTGATTATGGATTGGTGACATGGTGTAAAAGGTGATCATGGATTGGTGACATGGTGTTAAAGGTGATCATGGATTGGTGATATGGTGTAAAAGGTGATCATGGATTGGTGACATGGTGTAAAAGGTGATCATGGATTGGTGACATGGTGTTAAAGGTGATCATGGATTGGTGATATGGTGTAAAAGGTGATCATGGATTGGTGACATGGTGTAAAAGGTGATCATGGATTGGTGATATGGTGTAAAAGGTGATCATGGATTGGTGACATGGTGTAAAAGGTGATCATGGATTGATGACATGGTGTAAAAGGTGATCATGGATTGGTGACATGGTGTAAAAGGTGATCATGGATTGGTGACATGGTGTAAAGGGTGATCATGGATTGGTGACATGGTGTAAAAGAGAGTTTGGTGATGTGGTTGCAAACAGTGGCGTCATTAGGATGGGTGTCATTCTGGTGTGATAAATGAGACAGACAACACCCCCCCCCCCACATACATCATCATTTCTCGTTCGTGCCCAAGACACATGAGGCTGATAAAGTAGAGTTCAACTATTTTAGAGACCTCGGCATATGAAGGGATAACGTGGTCAGCACTATGCCCAGCCGCGTTTGTTTCCCTAGCGTGAGTTAGGTACCCATCTGAGCAGGGTGGACTCCACTTATTTGTTCCCGGATTCGAACTCTCGGGTTAGAAGTCTAGCCCTCTACCGCTAGGCCACGCCGTCTCATCCTAACCCCAATAGTCACATACTTCCATAAATATAGCATTTTCGGTTTCGTGTCACCCTTCTCCTCTACTATTTTATAATTTCAACTGAATAAAACAATGTTTTGACAGTACATTTTATGAATTGGTGTCACCCCTTATATGGTGAAACTCGGTGCGGACCACACCCCGCCTTAACCATGTGATGTTACTGGTTAAAGAGAGAGATTGGTGACATGGTTACAGAGTGAGATGGGTGAGTTTGTTACCGAGACTGGAGAAATGGATTGATGATCTAGTTATAGAGAAGAATACACATAAAGATATTAGTGCTAAACTCAGAACGTTACTGTAGCTCGTATCAATGCTCTGATCCATATTGTCATACTGCCTGAAATAAATTTTAAAGAAAGGAGGAAAACGGTGCTTATTCATTAAAAAAAACAGCTTCAGAATTTAAAAAAAAATATCCGGGTAATCAGGCAGTTCAAGTTGGTTAAACACTTAACTGTCCTCGATATCACTTATCGCGAATGCTTTGGAATCTCTTAAAGATTAATATTTAATATCTGCCAGATGCCGGTCATTAGCCTTTGCAAACCCTGGCTCCTTCTGTAACCACATATATACACACATGCACACACACATGCACATGCACACACACATGCACACACACACACATTCTCCAACATTTTCGTACCTGCATGTACACACACAAATCCGCGCACTTTTCACACACACACGCCTACCCACACACACTTCTCCTAGGTTTAATTAAATATTTTGACGCCTCATGTTCTGACATAAGTTTAAATATAAACAGAGTAGGTTGAGAAAAAAAACGCACCAAGTATTCGCTTAGGTCGAGTCGTAAGCGATCCTGCGTATAATATACAACGCACAGAAATTGGGTTAATTTCAATCCAACTCATACCCCATAAAATGATATGCATTACATTGACCAATACCCATCACATCATATGTTATTTCTTAGTACCCCAGCTAATTACAAAACAGTTTAGAAGTTCAAATATGGATTTTTTTTTTTTTAAAAAAAAGGATAATATTTTAAAAGAAAAAAAACCGCGGTTTTATTCCTGTTAGAAACAGATATAAAGCCGTGTATAAACAGAAGGAAGGTGTAAATCGATTGTTTCAATATATTCATCAAACTAATTCATCTAGCTGATATTTTGCTTGAAACAATAAGATGAAAGTATTCTGCTATATACTATCACTCCCTACCCCACACTATATAACAATAATATTCCAACCTCCTACCGTAGTTGTTATTTTATCTGTGCCCGACCCCATAAGCTAAAAGAACACCACCCTTCTGTGCATAGTGTGCACGACCCCTAAAGAGGGGTGCATCACATTGCTGTGCTCGACCGGTTTCTTTCATGCATAAAGAAATATAATTTTTATAGAAAATATACATTATTACCAGTGTGTGTCCACTCCCAGATAAATTTATCCCCTTCCACAAAATTTTCAAGTACCCCCCACCACCACCACCCCCGGAGAAATCGGTGCACCACCCTTAGCAAGACCCCTAAAGAGAAGTGCCCCACCCTCCTGTGCACGACCCCTAAAGAGAAGTGCCCCACCCTGCTGTGCACGACCCCTAAAGAGAAGTGCCCCACCCTGCTGTGCACGACCCCTAAAGAAAATGCCCCACCCTCCTGTGCACGACCCCTAAAGAGAAGTGCCCCACCCTCCTGTGCACGAGCCTTAGCACGACCCCTAAAGAGAAGTGCCCCACCCTGCTGTGCACGACCCCTAAAGAAAATGCCCCACCCTCCTGTGCGCGACCCCTAAAGAGAAGTGCCCCACCCTCCTGTGCACGAGCCTTAGCACGACCCCTAAAGAGAAGTGCCCCACCCTCCTGTGCACGACCCCTAAAGAGAAGTGCCCCACCCTCCTGTGCACGAGCCTTAGCACGACCCCTAAAGAGAAGTGCGCCACCCTCCTGTGCGCGACCCCTAAAGAGAAGTGCCACACTCTCCTGTGCGCGACCCCTAAAGAGAAGTGTCACACCCTCCTGTGCGCGACCCCTAAAGAGAAGTGCCCCACCCTCATGTGCGTGACCCCTAAAGAGAAGTGCCCCACCCTCATGTGCGCGACCCCTAAAGAGAAGTGCCCCACCCTCCCGTGCGCTACCCTAAAGTGCCCCACCCTCCTGTGCACGACCCCTAAAGAGAAGCGCCCCACCCTCCTGTGCACCGCGCCAACCCGTGCAGAACGACCGTGCAGAAAGACTCACTGTCTGTGTCCACTGCCCGGATAAAGTTCCGTAACTCGTGGAACGACGGTCTCTGGCCAAGGGAGATCATCACTGAACCCAGCTCGTCTGATGTGATCATCCCGTCGCCATTTTTGTCGAACATGTGAAAAGCATCTCGTATTTCTGAAAAACAAATGTTAACGTTGGGCCTATTAGTTTTAACATTATTTTCAACATTATTATATTTGTCATTGTTTTTTATATATATCGAAACCTATAGCGTATCATCTCTCTCAGATTTTACAAATCATCCATTTAAAAGCTCCCCAATTTTTTTTAGAGTCATATACCCTACCGTGTGCGTCATAAAGGCGGTTTTTGGAACACTTAGGGTACAAAAGGGGAAACAACGTTTTTAAAGAGCTAAAGGGCGAAAACCAGCCCAAGGGATTTTTATTTTTTTAAAGGTATTTTTTTTTTAGAGAGACGAAGACCAAACCCAAAGGTGTTGGAAAACTCAGAATTGTGAGGAAAAAAAAACTAGGGGAGACAAGCAGGTGGTGGGGGGGGGGGGGGGTGGAAGAAGGTGAAAATAGAAACTGGTCAATTTACTTTACTGAAAGCTTGCATCTATTTTTAGCAACACAGGTAAAATTATCGTTCCCTTAATCTGGGAAGAGGAACAAGCCAGCTGTTATTTTAATTTTTTTTTCCCCTCCCTAAAACTCAAAGACAAGACAAGGTAATTCTGTCGAGTGCAAGAAAAAATATTCCCAGTGCTGAAAGTTCCATTCTGCATACAAACCCTTCCTGGTTGTGTTTCAAATTTGGGCACCAAATTTTTTTTTTAAAGTTGTAAAAAAAACTTTTTGCTGATGTTGCGGATCTGAGACTAGGCTAAAAGTTATGTTGAAAAAAAACCACACAATCATAACATCTTCTTTAAAGCTACATAATTAAATTAGGGAGGCTAAAGTTATTTTCTTTTTATTTCGCGTCAACAAACTCCCAGCTTTCACACTTAGTTTAGCAACGTTAGTCCTTTAGCTTTTATCTCATTAGCTGCATCGGTGGGTTCTACCTTCTCTCTCACTTTTTATAGGTATTTTTAAGATTTCTGGTTCATCAGGCGGCCTATATATATAACATATATATATATATATATATATATATATATATATATATATATATATATATATATATATATATATATATATATATATATATACATATATATATGTATATATATATATATATACTAGAATACCCGTCATCCGTTGGATAACTGTGGGTTTCGGGGGTCATCCATCAAAAAACATCACGTCTGTCACTCAGAGGCATAGCGACCCTTCCCGGCGCCCGGGGACAAAGTTTTCGATTTGAACCCCCCCCCCCCCTCAAACTTTTGATGTGCACCCCCCACTCAAACTTTCGATTTGAACCCCCCTCAACCTATCAATTTATTTTTCCAAACCATTTTGGCGCCCCAACATATGTCCCCCCCCTTCCCCCCTCCACCTCCCCACCCCCCGCCTCCCCTTTATCTGACCACACTATCCTTTCATATGCTTAGGACAAAGAAACAGATGAACTCTACTTCACCTGCCCTGTATCTTGCCAAGTTCAGATAGGCAACGTTATCATTCACATCTAAAAAAAAAAATTGAAAAAAAAAATTTCATTGACATATTGGTCTAGAACCCGTGCCTCCTGCATGAGAGCTGACTACGCTACCATTTTAGCTATTTACTCGTGACGTCACAAGTGAATTTTTATACTATACTATGTGTCTCCTTATGCAACTTGATTTACGCGTATAGATTCTAGATCTAGATCTAATAAACCGGGAGTGATCTCCCCTAAACTTTCTCGAATATTCTTATATAAAATAACAGGGGATGGGAACTCGGGCTATAGAAATGATTTTTAATCCATTTTAAATACTTAAAGTTTTAAAAATAGAATAAAATCTCGTAGACAAATTAATTGCACACCAAGTGAACGCTAAATAAAAAACGCATAATAGTGCGCAATATTATTAGTACTTTTAAAATTTACATTAGTTTTTTGAGAAATCGGAAGTAGCGTAAAGTACTACTTCCAGTCAACGTAAATTACTCAAAATTTTACAGAAGGTAGAGAATTAGATCTTTTACTTACATGTGAAAAATCATTTATCTATCTGAAATACTACTCAAGTTATAGGCTTTTGAAAAATTCAAAGTAGAAAAAGTACCACTTCCGGTTGTCGGAAATCGCTCAAAAGTTGATACGGATCTACGATTTTGATATAATACTTATATATGAAATTTCATCAACCTAGCTGTAACGGTACTCAAGTAATCGTGTTTACACACGGACAGACACACAGACACACACACACACAGACATACGGACAAGATTGCAAAATTATGTTTTTCCGTATCAGTGAGGTGTAAAACGTCGAGATTTGTAAAAATCTCGATTTTTTTTTTTTGCACGATTACAATACTTTCTCTATACTTCGTATATACGAGAAAGTAAAAATAAGTCTAGTAGTACTAACTTTCAAATTAAATTTTATCTTAAATAAGCCAAACAAAGATTTATATAAAATAATTAAGGCCTGAAATAGATTCTAGATGTAGAATTTACATTGAATCTAGTGACCTACATCTAGGCTAGATCTAGAATAGATCTAGATCTAGCTAGGCTAGATTCATAAATTTCCTTCGATAGCTGATCTTTAGATCTAGAGAAATTTATCGTAAAACTAAATGAAAAAGACAGTTGAAAATTGATATAAGTGTTGGAACGTAATAAATACAGCAAACGGGCGTATTGTTTAAGTTATAGCCGGCAGAAAATTAGCTTTGTAACGCGTGAAACTTTTGAATGGGCCACAAAGTCTATGATGGGGTCCGCCATTTTTATTGTACCAAAAATGTAAACACATCAAGGGACGTCACTATCCCCACAAAGTTTATTCAAAGTATTAACATTTTTTAAAAAATACGGTTAATTTAACTATGAATAAATCAATAAATTAATTAACGTCTTTAAATAAATTTGTGATTAACAGTCTGTCTGCATTAAAAAATTATTCTCTACCTACATACTATTTTACAGCTCTCCACATAGAGTCGAACATATCACAATAGTCGATCAGGCAAACAAACAAACAAACAAACAAATAAATATTCAAACATGTAAACAAACTTGACTTTTAGTAGTATATAGATATATATACATATATATATATATACATATATATATATATATATATATATACATATATATATATATATATACATATATATATATATATACATATATATATATATATATATATATATATATATATATATATATATATATATATATATATATATATATATGTATATATATATATATATATATATATATGGTAAAACAAAATTGCTGACTCATCAGATCTGAGAACAGAACTACGGGCTGTAAGAAGGCGTTGTTGTGTACAATATCATTGTGATGCCTTTTTGTGTGTAACAGTTTTTTTTTTACTCACTACAATACCATCTTGATGTCTATTTGTGTAACACGTATTTACTTCCGTTGCACACGGTACTTTTATTCTCGACTGTTTTTACAGAACTATCTAAATCATCGTTTACACATATCAGTTAGTGTTGTCCACAGCTCACTACTTACACATAAAACTATCTACTTTACACAAACACTGTTTACACATATTTTAAATTACTGTGCACAAACTACCATCTACACATAACACTAGCTAGTTTAAACAATTCGAATCAACATTTACACATTTCTCTACATACTTTACACAACTCATCCTTTATAAATATGACTAACTTTTTTAACACAACTTAAAATTTACACCAACCACCATCTACTGTAAACATTTATTTTGACTACACGATTTTCCCGCTTGTCACGTAATGCATCTTACACAAACCATCTTTATGATATCGTCCCTAACCACCCTTAACGATACACATTCGACTCAATATAGGACAAACGCAGTTTGTCAAAAAACATAATCTTGAGAAAAATGAGTGTATAATCAATATACAGCTTATTCCTATATTAAAATAGTGCTAAATATTATCTCAAAACGGTCAAAAAATAAATATTTGCGTTCTAGTTTTCTTACATTTTACTTAAGTGCTCTGACAGCTTGTATTATTGGTAATAATCTTAATACAAGTACAGTGGCGTCGCTAGGTCGGGTGTCACCCGGTGTGGTCCGCACCCCCCCCCCCCCCCTCGCGCCGCCTCTTTATAAGTACAAATGTACATCGATTTCAGACAAAAAAGAGTGAATTGTGCAGTTGTCTTCCATCCAGTCGGATACACGACTTTATATACAATATGCTTCTCTTTACATTACTTATATTAAGTTATAATCCTTTTACAAATTTAATCATATACCGAATCTTACATGATACATATACGCTTTAATAAGTTTTTCCACAGCTTACTTTTAATATTGACACCATCATTAAAGTCAACACCCGTTAATATTACACACAACACCCTTTTATATACAAAGCTCACACCACCACCTTTCACAACAGAAAAACCCACCTTGTATTTTCTCATCAGTGAACATGTGTTTTTTGGCCAGTCGTCTTGGCTTGCGTCTTTGTACCCTCTCAGAGGCCTAGGGACAAAGTAAAATGTCCATCACGAGGCTAATTCACACATCACCAGGCTAATTCACTCATCACCAGGCTAATTCACTCATCACCAGGCTAATTCACTCATCACCAGGCTAATTCACTCATCACCAGGCTAATTCACACATCACCAGGCTAATTCACTCATCACCAGGCTAATTCACACATCACCAGGCTAATTCACACATCACCAGGCTAATTCACACATGACAAGGCTAATTCACACATCACCAGGCTTATTTACACATCACCAGGCTAATTAACACATCACCAGGCTTATTCACTCATCACGAGGCTAATTCACACATCACCAGGCTAATTCACACATCACCAGGCTTATTTACACATCACCAGGCTAATTCACACATCACCAGGCTAATTCACACATCACCAGGCTAATTCACTCATCACCAGGCTAATTCACTCATCACCAGGCTAATTCACTCATCACCAGGCTAATTCACTCATCACCAGGCTCATTCACTCATCACCAGGCTCATTCACTCATCACCAGGCTAATTCACTCATCACCAGGCTAATTCACACATCACCAGGCTAATTCACTCATCACCAGGCTAATTCACACATCACCAGGCTAATTCACACATCACCAGGCTTATTCACTCATCACGAGGCTAATTCACACATCACCAGGCTAATTCACACATCACCAGACTTATTTACACATCACCAGGCTAATTCACACATCACCAGGCTAATTCACACATGACAAGGCTAATTCAACCATCACCAGGTTAATTCACACATCACCGGGCTAATTCACCCATCACCAGGCTAATTCACTTATCACCAGGCTAATTCACACATCATTAGGCTTATTCACTCATCACGAGGCTAATTCACACATCACCAGGCTAATTCACACATCACCAGGCTTATTTACACATCACCAGGCTAATTCACACATCACCAGGCTAATTCACACATGACAAGGCTAATTCACTCATCACCGGCTTATTTACACATCACCAGGCTAATTCAGACATCACCAGGCTAATTCACTCATCACCAGGCTAATTCAGACATCACCAGGCTAATTCACTCATCACCAGGCTAATTCACACATCACCAGGCTTATTTACACATGACAAGGCGAATTCACACATCGCCAGGCTAATTCAGTCATCACCAGGCTAATTCAGTCATCACAAGGCTAATTCACTCATCACCAGGCTAATTCAGACATCACCAGGCTAATTCACTCATCACCAGGCTAATTCACTCATCACAAGGCTAATTCACTCATCACCAGGCTAATTCACACATCATCAGGCTAATTCACACATGACAAGGCTAATTCACTCATCACTAGGCTAATTCACTCATCACCAGGCTAATTCACTCATCACCAGGCTAATTCACACATGACAAGGCTAATTCACACATCATCAGGCTAATTCACACATGACAAGGCTAATTCACTCATCACCAGGCTAATTCACACATGACAAGGCTAATTCAGACATCACCAGGCTAATTTACACAAGGCTAATTCACTCATCACCAGGCTAATTCACACATGACAAGGCTAATTCACTCATCACCAGGCTAATTCACACATGACAAGGTTAATTCACTCATCACCAGGCTAATTCACACATGACAAGGCTAATTCACTCATCACCAGGCTAATTCACACATGACAAGGCTAATTCACTCATCACCAGGCTAATTCACACATGACAAGGCGAATTCACACATCACCAGGCTAATTCACACATGACAAGGCGAATTCACACATCACCAGGTTAATTCACTCATGACCAGGCTAATTCACTCATCACCAGGCTAATTTACTCATCACCAGGCTAATTCACTCATCACCAGGCTAATTCACACATCACCAGGCTAATTCACACATCACCAGGCTTATTTACTCATCACGAGGCTAATTCACACATCACCAGGCTAATTCACACATCACCAGGCTAATTCACACGTCACCAGGCTAATTCACACATCACCAGGCTAACTTAGCCATCACCAGGCTAATTCACACATCACCAGGCTAATTCACTCATCACCAGGCTAATTCACACATCACCAGGCTAATTCACACATCACCAGGCTAATTCACACATCACATCACCAGGCTATTTCAGACATCACCAGGCTAATTCACTCATCACCAGGCTAATTCACACATCACCAGGCTAATTCACACATCACCAGGCTAATTCACACATCACATCACCAGGCTATTTCAGACATCACCAGGCTAATTCACTCATCACCAGGCTAATTCACACATCGCCAGGCTAATTCTGACATCACCAGGCTAATTCTGGCTAATCAACACAACGCGGTGGTAATGAAATTAAGACCGGGACGTCATTCTTATTAGGGAAAGTTCCACAGGCTACCTCTGTATAAAAACTAAACATATAAGACATTATAAGACCAGCGAGGGTAATGTATTTCACCTTTCAAGTGAAGAGCTCTTTAGCTCACTTGCATGTTGATAATGAGTACCGGCATTTAGTTAGGTGAGTTCTGCTGAGACGTTGATGTACTGGTTGCTCATAAAGCTGATACAAGATGCACATGCACGCACACACACACACGCTTATACTTAAACACACATAAAGTTTTCACTAGGGAAACAGTAAGTTTATAAACGGCACCGTGTTTTTAAACTCAAGATATATGTAACAGTGTGTGTTTGCATACGTCTGTGCATGCGTGCGTAAGCTAATGTATGTGTGTGTGTGTGTGTGTGTGTTTGTGTGTGTGTGTGTGTTCCAATATCAAGAAATGAGTTGACAGTAAAACAAAAAGAAAACAATGAGATAGGGGAGATAGTACGTAAAAACAAAGGCAAATTTATTACCCAGGATCAGTTTTGAAAACACAGGTACAGTTTATTTTGAGAAACGATTTAAACCCCTGCTTTACGTTATGCCGGCTGTAGACTTTTGATTAATCTGTATTGCTATTGTGTGATAAAACGGATACATTGTGATTACACGCATCCTGCCTGGAACAACAATAATCAATTTACTTCTTCTTCGCCGTTTTTATCCCTGTTGAGCAAAATTCATTTACAACATCGTTTCATGCTTTTTTCTGTTCTTTTTATATTCATTTCTTTCCAACGCCTTAGAGTAACTTTCATGTATGTTTAAATTTATCTGCTCCGTGTGTATTTTGGGTCTCTTTTCTGTTGTTTGATCCTTGTGGAATCCCAGAATTGCTTTTGTTACATTAGTGTCCGGTTTCGTCGATGTATGGTCTAACTTCTACTTCTTTCCTGAACGCCTAGCTCTATTGGGATTTCTCTATTCATCTTCTACTTCTTCTCTCAATATCCATTTCCACTTTCGTGTCCATTTCCATAATGTAAGATACTTTATTTACATGTTTACATTACCCTTCAAATTATAGTCTCTTTTAGTTATATTGAGATTTAAAAGTAAACAAGTAGTAAACACACATCTGTAGCATAGAAACAATGGGGAGGAAAGTGACATAGACAAGATTTAGAACTTAGGGGTTAGGTAGGGTGTAATAGGTGGGGTCAGGAAAGTTGTTTATTTTGGGGGGGGGGGGGGTTCATTCTCTCAATGACAGCCATATGTTATTGATGTCAGATCGACACGAAATAAAATAAGATTTAATCGCATGTTGTTTAATTGATAAAAATATTCAAGTGTCGACCTCTACTCAACTAATTTCGCAACCACTTTGAATTTAGTATTCACTCCAGGAATCTATTCATAAAACGTGTCGTTCTACAGCGATGAAATTTGGCTAACAACTAAAAAAGACTGGAACATGCTTCATATTTTACGATAGGGTTAACAGTTCGTAGTTTGGTCTTATAGTTATTTGTTTAGAACCCCATATGTATTGATACAACGCAAAGGTTCCATTTGCAGTCTGTATTCTGTCTTATGTCTGATCCAGAACGCCAATTCCTATCAACTATACTGCCTAGCTCTGTAAACGTTTCTACTCTTTCCGTTCTCTTTCACCTATCTTAACTGTCTCTGTTATTTAAACTTTTCCACTTTTTCAAGCGCTCCTGCTCCTATATCAATTGCCTGTGTGTTATTTGAATTTATTCTTATCAGCTTTATTGCCCTCGCTTTAAAACTGTCTCACGTTTGAAATAGTTTTACCAACAGCTCTCATCTGTTTACCTTTCCGTGACAAAACTCGTAACAACAAAAGCTGCCTTAATCCCAGCCCCCTTTCATCCAAGATACGAACAATTATCATCAAGAATACGAGCGGTTATGGTACAGGATACGAACTGTTACCGCCCAGAATACTAACAGTTATCGTCCAGGATACGAACATTTATCCTCCAGGATACGAACTGTTACCGCCCAGGATACTAACAGTTATCGTCAAGGATACGAACATTTATCCTCCAGGATACGAAATGTTATCCTCCAGCATACGACCTTCCACCGCCCAGTATACGAACAGTCGTGTCCAGGATACGAACTGCTACCGTCCAGGATACAAACATTTACCGTTCAGAATAAGAACATTTATCCTCCATGATACGAACAGTTATCGTCCATGATACGAACATTTATCGTCCAGGATACGAACTGCTACCATCCAGGATACGAACATTTATCGTCCAGGATACGAACTGATACCGTCCAGGATACGAAAATCTACCGTTTATGATACGAACATTTATCCTCCAGGATACGAACTGCTCCAGGTGTAAGCAGACATGCTAAGCAAGCAGAGATAAGCAAGCATGACGCGCCTGTTGTCTATCAGTTTTGCTATCCGCGCCCTGCCATATAAAATCTGCTCTAATGGTGCAGTAAGTTTACATTAGACGAAACGGAATCTCAAAAATTTAACACGTTATATTTGAAAGTGAGTACAGTATTACGGCTTGTTTATTCAAAAAGATACGGGTTTTTTTTTGAGTCAACTTACATTATTTATATTTACAGATCGTTTAATTAGATTGTAAATAGTTTTTTTTTACCCTGGTTCAACTAGTTACCCCTCCAATGTTTTTTTCATACCAAACTGATATAACATTACCCAAAAATGGATGGACAACGGCAGACGTAGGTTACAACAACGGGAACTACGGTGATTCGTTCGTCTTGCCAACACCCCGACAACTGAATGAAAGCTAGTCTACACTCGGTAAATCTATTGTGTGCATTCATGTTTACCCCAATCCCCCCCCCCCCAACCGAAACCCCACAGATCGTTTCTTTTTTTGTTATTATTTTTACCTACGGTACGTCTTTTGAGTATCTGGAAGACACCTTACGATTTCTAGATGAATCATTCAAGTTTTCTCCCATGTTTCTATTTGCTAAGAACAGGCCCGTAACACAATGGTACAATGTGGAACTTAGTTAACTCATGCTATAGATCTAGTAGATACTAACTAGGAGATCCAAGTTTTACTGCTGTGTGATTTCTGTAGTATGTAGGTATCCACAAACGCGGATATTAATCTTTCTGTAAATAGATTTTCCAGATTCTTGGGGAGAGAATAATCCAGCTGACGTGTGATATTTACAAATGTCTTTACGACACATGTGAAGTAGGATCTATCACTTTCTCCAGCAAGTCACTCATAGAGCAGAAAGGTGCAATGTTTAAAAAAGAACACTGTATTTTAAGGAGGTTTGGCCAGATATTACTCCAGCAAGTCACTCATTGAGCAGATAGGTGCAACGGTTAGAAAAACCACTTTATTTTTAAGGTGGTAAAGAAAAACCACTTTAATTTTTTAAGGTGGTTTAGCCACAGCTTACTGCTGCAAGTCACTCACTGAGCAGAAAGATGCAATGTTTATAAAACAAGGGAGGGTAACCCGCATTCAGGGGACGCTACTCTGAATGAAAACAATGTTCACCGAGTATAGAGATACCTTGTATAAATGTTTACACCGAGCAACGCTTTTGGATCCACACCCGTGTATTTTATACCAGGCTATAGCGCCACCTGGTGGCGGCTGTTAGATTTAACTTGTAAAGGCTGGACAAGTAGCATATGTGCACAGCCAACAGGGAGACTAGCCATGGTCGGCTTGACCTTTTCGATGACCATCGCGCACGCATATTATATAATACTTATCCATTTATTGGGTCCGACAAAATGTTGACGTGGGGGAGTGATCCAAATAATGAATTTAACATCGAAGTACTTACATTAAAAAAAAACAACTGATAAAACTCGTATCCTGCATGTAAGAAGTAAAATAAGAACGACAGTGCTCGTGGTTTTTTTTAAATTCAGCTCTACTTGTAAATATAGCACAGTATTAAAACCAACAAGGCAAATAATCTTGATTAATTGTTACACTTTATAAAGGTTTATGAAAATCTGACTTCGGATATTGTACGAAGTCAACTCTACCTAGATAAACTTCGTGTATACGTCGGTGTTTTAAAGTTAGGCTAAAAACGAACAAAACATAGGCCCTAGTTAGAAAGTTGTGTATACCTGGAATGTTGTAGATTTACACCGTCGTAAATGGAATCTACCTCTCCATTACATGGGAGCTCATCTGGTTGCCATGGCAACGACTAACAGAAAATGGAACTACTTTAACTAAAAAGTGTTCACTTATCCGCCTTGTTTTTTACTCCTATTTAACGCGAACAAGAAAAATTACTTGGAATATAAGTTGTAGGGAGTGATTAAGAAAACAAGAACATATACGACTTGGTCATACATAGGTTTAAAATTTAACAAACTTCAGAAACTTGATGAATTACGCTACTATACTGCAAGTGGTAGGCCGCGTTTAAGGAAGAAATCTAAAAGAATCAGACACAAGATTAGAATTCTTAACTATACCTACACATATTATAAATTAGTAAAGAAGCTCAAGCCTGATTGGTTTTTGTTTTTGTGGTTACTTATGTGATTTTATCTTTCATTGTTTGTTCGCAAAACCTACTAAGCCAAAACATATAGACCCTATATTTTGTCTTTGGCTTACCTGGTTTTGTTGTCGAGACTGTTGGCTTATTCGAAATGGTTTGGGTTGTTGGGCTGTTGAGGTTAATAAAGTTCCCTTTCAAACCTGACGGTCTATAGGGCAAGTAAAGTAGAGTGCACTTGTTCCTGTGACCTCGGCATATGAAGAGATGGTGTGGTCAGCACTATGCCCAACCGCCTTTACTTTCTTTCCCTAACGTGAGTTAGGTACCCAGCAGATTTGGGTGGACTCAGGGACTAGTTAGACGGGTTAGTAGTCCAACTCTCTACCGCTAGACCACTCCGTCCCTGGGGTTGTTGAGGACGGTGGTATTATTGGTAAAGGTGGGATAGTTGTGAAGGGTGGGATTAGTGGAAAAGGTGTGATTGCTGTAACGGGTCGTATGGTTAGATCCTGGTTGGCTGTTGCGACTAGCGTGGTTGTTGAAACTCTACAAGAATTGCATGTGTGAGAAACAGACAACACTGTGGGTTGAAATACTGCGTGTATGTTGAATTTTTTTCTGGTATGTGTATGTTGATATTCAATAGAACAACACAACCATCACATCTACCGGTACATCATATAGCTTGCCAGACATTACAATTAATTTCCTAGCCCATAAATAATTATCAAGGAGGCAATATTAAATTAATTAGCAACGCTATAAAAAGTGTTCGAAAATATTTTTCAGATGGAAAAATTAAAGAAAAATTTAAAGTATATAAAACCTTTACAGCAGTACTTACCATGGTAGTATGTTGAACAGCTGTGTTCAGTAAACTATTGGATGTAGACTAGATCTAGTACTCAAAAATTTGTGGTGCTAAATGTCTGTGTCCAATTAGAGTGGGTATGGCACTTTTTCTTTCATGTTTTCTTTTGATGTGAGTTTCTGGCGCCAGGATTTTAAGAAAAAAAATCTTATGCACCGTCTAAATCTTAAATTATTCTTCTGACTGAGTATATACCTTACATTCACAACCTCTTGCTTTGGTCCCTATCCAAAATCCTTTACTTGACTGTATATCCTTATATCTTCTTGACTTAGTCCCTATCCTTTATCCGCATATAGATAATTTATGTTTCTTCACAAATCCTTTTTAACGAGCCGTTATCCTAAATTCTCCGGTTGAATGAAAATATCCTAAATTCTCATCCCGACTGTGTATCAGTGTATGTTTATAAGTATCTTAAATTCCAAGACTGAGTCTATTTCCCGTATCAACTTGTCACTTCCATTGAGAAATCACATTCACTAGATGAAAAGCTATCTTACCTCAACACAAGCACGACCCTGCTCTACACGAGAATGCACTCACAGAGCAGATCTCAATGCCGTCTGCTACGCAAGTGCAATGTGAACTTCTGCCACTGTCTATAAACAGTGCGACAAGTGCACTATCAATAACGAGCAGCTACGAACTATGTCTATAATTACAATATATGCAGCAAAATACTTTTGTACATTGTGCTAAAATGGCATATGAATATGGTACAGCAATGCGATAAATATAGTATACGCTGTATATAAACTATAATAAGTGCAGCACAGAACGATGTAAATAGGGTTGTAAATAACGACCAATGACCACGTAGCCTACGTCACACAGATAAATATAAACAAGGATCTACTACTAGCATCACCCTGACACGACTAGCCCTAGCCTCGACTGCCAGTGAGGAGATGCAGGTAGTATTTGAAATAAGCGGGGAAACCAGCTTCGCTTTATCCGCCCATTAACCCACTTCTACCCATGCGTTCTCTGCTCACCGTTGAGAAAACGAGATGAGATAAACACAACTGATCCAGATTGCTTATTAAGATTCGTTCAGTTGTATTATTTTAAACTTGCTTTTTTTTTTCTTTCAGAGAAAAGCTTAACTTGATGAATACAAGCAGAAATAGCGCACGTGAGAGTGGAAATAGGTGGCGGTTGTGGGTGGGGGTAGTTGGGGGTGGGAAGGATAGATAATGTACCTGAAGGGGGGCAGGGGTGGGGTGAAACACAGGAAATGCCTCTACTTTATAATTAAGACTTTACCATTGTAATTGCTGTGATAAAAATAATTCAAAGAATGAGATTTTAATTTGTTTCACTCTTCAACGTGTGTGGGAATAGGGAGAAAGATGGGGTGGGGGATGAAATTGTGGTCTTTTATCTTTAGGCCTATACGTGAAATCCTATCCAAAGCACGCTTTAAGGATGTTTTTTTCTTTTTACCTTTTTTTTACACTTTTGAAACACAAGAACTAGACGTATAAAATGAAGTTCCCAAATCATTTAAACTCTAACTTACATCCAGTGGCGTAGCGGGGTCGGGTGTCACCCAATGCGGCACTTAATGGTGTCACCCCCCCCCCCCCAGAGGCGTAACGACCCTTCTCGGGGACAAACTTTCAATTTTCAATTTGCACCCCCCCCCCCCCCTCAAACTTTCGATTTGCACCTCTTAAAAGACTATTTAACACTCGAATTAATCACTTATTTAAGTGGAATTATCATTTTTCTCTATATATATTGCTATTTTTTGCCTTGGTGTCACCCCCCTAAATGGTGTCACCCGGTGCAGTCCGCATCCCCCTCGCTACGCCCCTGCTTACATCCACCACGTTTCTAGTCAATTTCGTTTATGTTAAAACATCGTATACCTCACATTCTACAGAAGTACACGTAACCTAGGCTATATCTGAGGCTTATCTAATAATAATCACATACAGAAGTTCAGGCCATTAACTTGCCATGTTTTTTTCATAAAGCAGGCCTATACATAGGTTAGATAATTAAATTGTTGGCACTGCGTACTCATTAGCTCTCAGCTAAAATGTCGTCTGGATGAAACGCGTATCTTCAAGCGCAGCTTAACGATCGTGTTGTGTGAATATAAAGTCCAATCAAGTTATCAACGAAGGTTTAAGCAGAATAATAATGTTTTCGTTGGTTGTAGGTAGTGAGGTCAAAATTTCACTTTTGACCTTGTTAAAGGAATATTTAACATTTTTGAAATAGTATCCAATCCCCTTGTCGAGTGTATTTTGTTTTGTTTTTTGCATTGTGTTTTCAATCCCTTCGACATAAGGAACAAAGATAAACCTTAGTAGATCTTTGTTGAATATCTTAAATCTAGCTCGTTATATTTTTTACTACATCTATAATCTATATTTTAATTTTCTGTTAATTGTTTAGGTTAGTACTGGTTATTAAGTAGAAATAGTTAATCTAGTCTGAGCACAAGTATTCCTTAAAATAATTATTTTATTTCTAATTTTAAAAGAAACAACAACGTGTAGGCCTATCAAACAAACAACCAAATATAAATTAATTCCAATCTGCAGATCATGTATAATGCGAAAATGATTTTGTAAAAATGGTGCATGCGATCAGAGCTGTTGCCATCGTTTTTTTATCAATGTCGCTAAGGTACGGGAATCGGCCGATATTATTTTCTAGTCTCTTTCTTTTAAAATATAAGAAAAGACCAAGTTTCCTATATACTTTATAAAATTTAAAATACACTATCCCTTTGTATCTGATTAAAAACTGGTATGAAAATTTGATTCCATTAAATATAATTTCTTAGTTAAAAATATTTAGTAAAACTGCTAAACTGGCAATAATGTTCGATATCGACAGATATCGACTACTATATATTCTTGGTTGATTATAATCTGTCTAAGATTGATAAAAAAAAATATTACTTTGATAAGATTTAACCATCAGTAAACATTTTATAAAAGTGATCGGACTAAAATAATATATTATTACATACATGACTTTACTTTAAGTGTGTTTGAGTTATTTTAACCTTTAGTTGTTAAAAGACACTTTATATAAAGAGGTGTATTCATCTAAACTGACTTTTTTTCTTCTAATTTATAATTAATAATATAAGATAAAACATCTCTTCAACTACAACTATTAAAGCTTCATACATATGCAGCAGACCTGAATAATATTAAAATACTGAAGGGTTGATAAAGTGTAAATTATAACAGTTTTAAAGTAGTCTTGTACTTATAATCTAGTCATAATTTGAAATAATCGATTTTCCAGTACAGCAATATCGAAAACGTAACTATGCACCGTTGAAGTAGTGTTGAACGTTCAAAGCATCGCTTTTTTCGTAAGATCAGGGAACAAGGTTGATTTAGGTTTGTTTTATTTAATATGGATATTTGTTTGTAATTTAAGAATATATTTTTATCTATTCGTAAATATTTAGCGTAAATTATCCGTTTGAAATACTGCACAGTTAAACTTCTTTTTTGTATTCGATGACTTTCTCCGAAAACTTTCGAAGAAAACAATTTTAATTATTTTCATAAAACTAGAATAGTCTTCCAGAGTAGAGTCGAGATAGAAACTAAGAAAGTCTAGATTAGATCTAGACTAGTGTATATCTATCTAAATCTAGATTTCCATAACTTGGTAACACATAGATCTAGATCTAGATCTAGAAGTCTAGAGATCTATTAGAAATAACCCAAAGAATTATTTTTATTTATTCTGCCAGTTTATTGTTTTTAAAGTTTTTACTTTTGCCGTCTTTTGCACAAGATGATAAGCAAGATCTCTCTCTAGAAATTTTAGATCTAATCTAGACTAGACTAGATCTAGAATCTAGATCTAGATCTAGAATCTAGATGTAGTCTAGAATCTAGACTAGATATTCTAGATCTATCTAAATCGAGATGTAGATTCTAGAAAAAGTATAGATCTAGTATAATTACTTTCTCATTTCTCTGACTTTTTATCATCATCATCATCATAGATTTCTAGATCTAGATCTCTCTAGATATCTAGATCTAGAGTCTAGATCTAGATCTAGAATCTAGATCTAGATTCCTAGATCTAGATTTCTAGATCTAAGATCTAGACTTAGACGTCTAGATTTCTAGATCTAGAGATATGTAGAGTCAGGACTTTAAACCTCTAGCTTAGTCTAGCTAGCTAGACTAGCAGTACATCTTGATCTCCATAAATCTAGATCTAGATCATAGATACTACTAGATTCTAGATCTAGAATCTAGATAGATATCAATCTAAACTAGATCTAGACCCTAGAATCTTATTCTAATCTAGATTCTCTAGTCTAGCTTACTAGAACTAGATCTAGGCCTAGATCTAGAATCTAGATTAACTAGATCTAGATTAGATCTATCTAGGTCAATCTAGGATCTAGATCTAGAAAATCTAGACCCCTCTAGAGTCTAGACAGTCTACTCTACACTATAGATCTAGATCTAACTAGCCTACTGCTACTAGATCTAGATCTAGACTCTAGATCTAGAATCTAGTAACTGAGATCTAGATCTATGTTAGTAAATAGGCTTAAGTTAAGTATCATAAATTATTACTAGATCTATGTAATATATAATATATAGACTTCCATTCTATACTATTCTAGATAATTTACATAGCCTATAAATGGTTAATTACAGTATAGAAAATGGATCTAGACTCTAGATCTAGATTCTAGTTCTACTTACTTCTCAGATCTAGATCTAGACTAGTTCTAGTAATCTAGTCGCCTAGGCCCTACAAGAAGAGCCTAGATTTAGCTAGTCTATAGTAGCTTTATATTATTATTAGATCAGAGATCTAGATTCTAGATCTAGCTAATTTATATATTAATAATTGGATTCTAGTAGGCTTAGAATCTAGACTAGATCTATATATCTAATGAGATCTACTCACTAGTTTAAATTTATAGTGTTGTTTGGTAATTCATAAATTGTAGATTCCCCACTAGTAGTTTAATTAATGCAATGCTAGTTCTAGATCTAGTAGTGCCTATTAAATTAAACTAAAAATAGAAATCATAATTTTAATTTGATAGGTTATTTAGAAGACCATTCTATCTGTTTTATGGTTTTAAAATCGATTCTAATGGTACACAATATGTCAAAAATATCAACTAGACAGATCTATCTCCAACTCTTTAAGAAATGGTTAAACATTTGAAGGAAGAAACTAATAACTTTGCTGCATCAATATGTAGTACTTAGCATGTAAAGATGTAATAATAGGGATTTGGACTCACATCACAGGACACAAATAATTTGGATAGTTTAAGCGACCGCTCCCTCCATATAGGCTTAATTGTTAAATAGACCAGCACCACAATATCATAAAACATTTTAGGAACCTCCCCCCACCCCTACCAAGCTACGCAGTTTGATATAAACACCAGAAACCCCATATAAATATGATAAAACTGTCAACATAGCTGTTGCATATGTGCACTATTCTTTATAATAAGCAACGTTATTTTCACATAAACCTTTAGATTTTTTAAATATATAGACTCTAATACCCTTTTTTTTTGGCATTATCAATACTTTTTATCGCCAGTATATTTGGCCTAGCCTTTATGTTTTTCTTGACCCTCCATATTCCTAACACTGACCCATCGCTACTCACGCTTTTAAAAAAAGCCGTATGTATTTCATAATACTGTACACACAGTGTACATTCAATTATACTGTTTGCTAGTATTATAACACTGACCCAAAACATAACACTGACCTAAGCCCTGACCCTAACTGCGATGTCGACATCGTCAAAAAAAAAGTCTAAACGATGCCGTATTTTGGCTAATATGCGTTTATTTTTAATTTAACCCTTGTTTTTTTAGTTTTCTTTTGTTAAAACATTAAAAAAAGCTTTTTAAAAAAACCCTTTGCTTTATCAAAGCGGATACATGAACTTGAGAACATACCCCGAACCCTACCCAACATGAAAGTTAAATACGAGGAATGCTTACCTTTTCATAGAGTTGTCACATGTTCTTTATCTTTACACCACGAATTCAACTCGTGCTTGCTTAGGGGGGGGGGGGGGGGGCGGCTCACCATGTCACGTGACTTCCTCAAATAATATCTATAACTATCGTTGAGCGCTGAACTGGCTAGTTAAGTTAATTAAGCTAACGTTACATGCGATACACCATGTGTACAACAGCCGATCAGTAAGAAGAAAATGGTCAGTGATTCAGCATACCGTTAGGGAGCGCGCTTTTTATGTGACGCTCGTTTTAATATTTAAGAGGCGTATTTAGCAGGAATTATTACTAAAACTATAAAATCTAACCTTTATTATTTACTATTATTATAAAATTTGATAATAATTTGTGAACATCTATCTGCTCTCCTAGTTTACTGCAGTATTGTATCGAGGTTTTGCCATTATTACTGTTAGTTGTTAGGTTTAGAAAGGTGAAAAAGTAGCTTTGGCGCGGCCTTAGATTAAAGAGACTGAAACAATGGTCAGATGGGCATATGCCCACTTAATGAGAGAAGGTCGGATAGAAACAAAAATTTCCCATGTATTATTCTAGTTTCCCCCCCCCCCCCCCCAGAGGTTATTAACGTGTAAGTATTACTGAAACGCAGAATCCGTTATGAAGTAGATTTTAATTAATGAAACGAGGGGATGAAATAGCGGTAGATGTAGGATAGAGAGATTAATGCGCAGGTGGGGAGATTGGTCTAGATTGGCATGTTGTGATAATAGCGTGTCAGCATGCTAAACACGGTACGCGGTCGGAAGTAGGTAAACATATTTTTTACAATGATAAACAAGCGGATAGGAAAATACAATATTTGGATTATTATTTAATCTGTAATTAAATATACTTTTATTGTTTAGTGTCTACTCTGTCTGAAATATACGTTCTCGTCGATAAGCTATACCTACATATTCGAATAGCATGTTTCGCTAATCATAAACCAACCACGTACATAGACCTAAGCTTGACCCTAAATATATAAAGTATCGTTATACGAATATATGGGTACGGCTAATTGACAATAACCGAAAGTTAGATCTAATTTATAAATGAAATTTTGAACACAAATGTATTCTTCAATTTAGAATTTGACTAGAAGTTTAATAATGAAAGACAAATAAGGAAGCCGGGGAAATGATTGAAATCAAATAAAAGCTAGGATAACTCCAGTCCATGTCTGTTCGACGTACACGCAGTGGTACCCCACTCGGTGGCTCGTGTGAGTCTCGCAGACTTCGGCAAACCCCGTCCAGAAAACAGCACCATTCCAAACCTATCGAGGATGCCGGAGCTGATACAAACGTGGAACCATCCCGGGGAGCGGTCACTAGAGACAGATCTTCGCATCATGCTTCAGCGAAGAAACCTCCTGTTGCTGAGCCATCGGCAGTAGTTAGTCCCACGCCTAATGTAAGTTTAAATATATGGGAGCGGTTAGAAAAAGAGAAGCAGGGTTTCCCTACGTGTGTTCAAGAAGCTGGAGTAGAAAAGTCGTCTAAACCTGAGCGAGGCTCGGAACAATCTGACCCAGAACTCGCCAAGAAAGGTAGAAAACCCGAGCTGTTGTTATCGCTGCTAGAAGGTGAAGGACACTTTCAAGGTGACAAAGCTAAACATGCCGTGCCTGTTAGGACTGTATCTGAGAAAAAATGTACCGGAGAATCGGAAAAGGCTAAGGCTAGCGGTTCTAAAACTGAAGTGGCCGAGAACAAAAAGAAAGGGAAAGAAGAGCAAGCTCCGGTTCACAACAGCTTCTCCCATTCCATTTGCATCTTCCCAAACTGTGACCACCACAGCAGCGAAATCGCCAATGATTTTTCGCACATCCCTGAAGTACCGGGCGAGCCTTTTTTCGTGTCGTTGTCTAAAGACAAGAACAAGGAACTCAACATGGTGAAGACGTCTTCTGGTCTAGTGCGAGTCGGCTGTGGTCTACATAAATTCTTGCCATCTTCTGCTCATTCGTTCCACGACTCACTCAAAGAGAAATCGACATGCTCTAAAAACTCACATAGCACGGGAGAATCCAAAACTGAAGATAGAAATGGGAACACTCTGTGTCCATCCGAGGCTAGGGTACACGTTGTTAGAATAGATAAGGATAGTAAAAGAATGTGGAGCAATGGAGACGTGGATTCAACCAAGTCAACAAAGGCCGACAGAGAAGACACGGCTACTGGATCCAAGTTTTTAAATCTGGCCGATGGTGAATGTGAAAGTTTCGAACTTGGGTCCATGTCCGACAACCCGAACTTGAAGAACGGAATCTCCGGCAAGTCCTCGCAGTTCCCGTTGATGGAGGAAATTTTAACCGAGCCAAACTTTGCTGGCTTTACCGGCGCCATCAGCATTCGCGAAATGGCGCAGATACCAAAAGATGACGTTAACCAGCAGTACAAGAGAGCGGTCAGTTTGTTGAAGGCGAGTGTTGTCAACACGGGAGTGGCAGCGTTTAAGGTCGAAGAAAACAGCGAGTTGGACAATAAACACGTGAAGCGCAGCGAGAGGATACGCAGTAAAAGTGGGGTGAACAACCTGGGGATTCAGCAGGCCGTCATATCAACAATGAAACCCACCGATAACAGGCCCAAAGTCAAGTCAACCCTGCAGAGATCGAAGAAAAAGTCGAAAACGTTCACGGCCAAGGAGGTGCAGAAGAAAACGAAAAAGGTGAGCGTGAGTAAGAAAGTAAAGTCCAAGGGCGGCTCGAAGAACAAGTCGACGATGTCGAGGGAGGTGATGGACGCCATCATTCAGTCCATCGAGGAGACCATCTCGCGGGCCAGAGAGGACGACGACGACGACAAGCTTGACTCCTCGGGTTACCATGACAACGACGGTGCCGCTAACGTTCCGTCTCAGATGATGGACCCCTGGCCCAATGATAAGGACGACAGTTCCAGCTTGTCCGAGCTGTCACTGACGGTACCAGAATCCCCCGCCACATTCGCCACTGAGGGGAAACCAAAGAAAGACCGCAAGCAGCCTCCCAACAAGCGGATGTCAAGTCAGTCCAAGAAAGTCAAGAAACGCTCGCCATCCAAGTCTAACACCTCCAGGAAGAAAACCAAGGATCCTGCCCCTGTCTGTGACAGTATGGAAGTTTCCACCACTGATCCTGGGACCTCGGATGTCACCATCCCCAGTGCCATCACCGTGGGGGACGTTGGGGCTGTCGGTGGGAAGAGGTCACGGAAAAGGACGAGAAAGGCCGAGGAGGCCATGGGGGACTACGATGTCTTCTGTGATGACGACTGGCCTGTAAAGAAGTCGAAAAGAAAAAGGTAAGCGGAACTTACCAAAAGAAAATACCGCAACTGTACTGTACTGTAAATTTCGCTTGCCAAAGTAAACATCTATCAAAATGTTGTTGTAGTACAATTAAGGTTCGCATAGATTAGCCATACCCACAATTTCTTATAACGGGTATCATTCGTAACGTTAATAGACACTTAAGTATAGCTTTAGGGTTAAAATTAATGGTTACCTTTAGTCATGAGATTGAAGGATCATAATCGCCGAATCCCGTTATACGCATATGTGGGTATGGCTATTCGATGATGACTACAAAAGTTGTTTTTGTTTTCTTTGTTCTCTATTCGCAGACATGCGATTAGTGCAATTTTATTTAAAATAAAATCTACAAATAAAAACAAACTTTTAAAAAAAAAAATTTGATAACATACGTAATTAGTGTAGCGAATCCGTTGGTATTTACAGAAGTAGCAGTTCAGAATCTGCTTCTAGCTCAAGTCAGAAAAGGCCGAGGCGGTCTGTACCTATGGGAGATTTAATGACTGATCCAGTCCTAGAGGAACACGCCTTTATTTTGTGGGCCAGGTGAGATCCACCTTCATTTGTACTCAGAGGCGTAGCAACCCTTCCCGGCGCCCGGGGACAAACTTTCGATTTGCAACCCCCCCCCTCAAACTTTCAATTTGGCGCCCCTCTCTAATGTCGGCGCCCGGGGACATAAGTCCCCCCCCCCCCCGCCCCCCCCCCCCCCCTCACTACGCCTCTGTTTGTACTGGGCTGATAAGATTTTTGGTTGGGCCAGCTGTATTAGGCTGATTGTTGTTTTTAGCTGATGTTTTTTTGTTACTGGACTGCCCTTTCTCTTGTACCGATATTGCAGACAGCGACATAATGAAGGACATTCCTCACGCTCAGAGCCAAAGTAGATACTCTTTTTAAAAAGAAATGTGGTCTAGAAATCATGAAACACACTTAAGTGATATTTGTTCTTAATAAACCGGGTTGTAACATGTGAGGGAAATAGTGTGGTCTTTATCTTATAGTTACGTTAAAATATTATTTATTAAAGGCACGCATATTTAGTTACCAGGCCCACGGATTATTAATAGAAAATTGGCAACTGACGTCACTATCACCGTAAGTTCTACATCTTGTAAACTTTGATAATTGACAGTGAAAACCGTAGTCAAATCGAGGTCCAGCATCCCGGCTCATCAACTTGTGAGGTAGACGCCATGTTGTCTTCACGTTGGTGTGACGTCACTGACAATGTCAAGGCCAGGTTTTTCGGCAGGGCGCGCGAGGCCTTCAGTGATGATGACCGTCACATGATTCGCTCCACAGCTATGGCAGGTAACCCCTATGTCACGTGATACGCTCCACAGCTATGGCAGGTAACCCTTATGTCACGTGATACGCTCTACTGCTATGGCAGGTAACCCTTATGTCACGTGATATGCTCCAGTGCTCCTAGTACATAAGCCTTGTCGATAAGCCTTTCAGTACTTTTCCCAAAATTTAAACCTAATCCAAACAAAAAAAAAATTACGTGCTCTCTAATGAGCTGTAAGGAATAATATTTTTCTGCATTCTGATAGTAAATTAATTTGATTCTAAAATTGCATTTTACTCTAAATAACCTTATCTTTACTAATCATAGTTGCATTACTTATCCAATCAATGGTTTTAATGCCGGTTATGTCATTCTGCGTTTTTAAATAAAATGAATAATATAATCACGTATACAATAGTTTTAATATTCTACTTTAAAAACAAAAAGAAATCAGTGTTTATCGTGTCTATAAAAATGTTAAAGCATACGTAAATGTATGTGCCTACAGTAACAGTAGTATTTTTTCCCATCCGTATGTTGCCGCTATCGTCCTTGGCTATCTAAACAACACAGAATTAGAACTTGGTGCACTTGGAGATTTCTTCAACGACCGTGACCCTGTGTTTATCGAGTTCATCAGACTGCCAATAGATAGACAGAGAGAGCTTCTTAGGAAATGGCTCAAATTCTTCCAGAAAATGCTGCCCAAAAAGGTATTACAAGGTCTATGAGTGGGTACAGATTGGTAGCCTGAAAGTCCACTAAAATGACATCACACCTCAGCCTAGCATTTTTTTTAAACATCGATTTGTTTTTCTAAAATATTGACTAAATTGTTCAACGGAAAATTTTAATCCATTTCTATTACAACTTATTAAAATGCTTTTCTAAAACGCGCCAAAAACGGCTGAAAATCGGTTTTTAATCATACTTTTTTAAAATGCAAAAGTGACTTCACAGTATCTAAACCCTCCCCAATCATCACACATCGTCACAAAATTACGGACACACCCCCTACAAGTGTGACGTCAGTTATGGACAACCCCTTTGCTAGACCTGCTCACCATACCTTTCTCTCGTGCATTTGTGAGAAAATAATTCAGTTCTTTTTTATTTCAGTCATTTTTCTGTGTCGATACACTTTCTTCTGTTTTGCTATCACCCACATTTTTTAACAGCAATAGGCCCTGATTTTACTATTGTTAAAATATAGATATGCTACTGTTGAAAGTAGTTGTATAATGTCTGTGATATTTTGTAGGAATACATCGAATTCATCGTCACGTTTAAGCGCGCATGCGCGAGAGATGGCAAGACTAACGGCAAACCCAAGCGGACACGCATGAGATGTTTAGACCCGTCCCATTACAAAATGTTGTTTGACATGATACGCTTGACTAAACCCCGCGTACTTGAGGTGTACAAGGAGAAAAAAATTAAAGAAAAAAAAATTGTGTCGGATACATACAGGTAAGTGGCAAGGGAAGCAACCCATAAAAACATTTATGTTTTGTCTGTAAAGGTTTAGCTACCCTTGAAAGATGTCTTTTTAAAAAAAAATAAAAAAAACTGGTCTTTGCTCTGTAAAATAATTAAAACCTTTATTTAATAATAATATTATTCTGAGAAAGGTTGGTTATGTTGTACCATAAGGCTTTAGTGAAAGGTGAATGTGTTAATAGCTGTGCTTTCATAAACACAAATTAAATAAGTTCATAACTTTATACACAAATAGAAACATTAGAAATTGTTTTAATATTTACTGCCTAACTTTTTCAAAATGAATCAGCCTAATTATTCACAGATTATATTTTTACTTCAATTCAGCTTAATTATTCACAATGAGGTAAACACTTTTACAATTAAACAAACTAATTATTTACTAACTCTTTCCACATGTAAAACAACCTAGTTATTCTTTAACACTTATTACATTAAAACATAATCATTTCCCCCTTAGCACTTTTTACCTTAAAAATTAACCACCATTAAATTTTAAATTGTAAACAACCTAATTATTCACTTTATATATTTTTCATTAAACAAAACTAATTGTTTGCTAAACAAAAATATTTCCACTTAATCAGTCCAATTATTAAATAAAAAATATTTCTATTGATAATAACCAAATTATTTGCTTACACATTTTTCTATTTCAAGTTCTCAATTATTCACTTACATTTTTTTTCCTATGGAAACAGCCTAGCTATTCACTAATACATTTTCCCCTTCAAGTGCTGAATTATTCATCAATATGTTTCTCGTGTCTACAATCTAATTCTTCACTATGAAATGCTTTATTGGTCAACAGTCTAATCATTCACTATCTAATGTTCCATATGTCAACAACGAAATTATTCACAATCAGATTTTTCCCATGTCAACAGTTTAATTATTCACAATCAATTATTTCCCATGTCAACAGCCTAATGCTCCACAAGCTTGTAGCCAGTGAGACCTGGCCACATGTTGTCATTGGCTGCAAGTCACAGCTGCTGACAGAAATTCTACAAGACCTGGAGATTCCAGACTGTGAAGTGGCCGGCACTGAGCCATCTCTGGTCTACAACAGGAGTAGTAATGTGACGCTAGTGGAGAACGATGAGGCTGGTGTTGATGATGAAGTCAGTGCTGCGTTTGACCCAGAGGCGGGACATGATGCTAGGGTCTCCATCACTGTGGTCAATAAGGTATTTCTTGTTTTTTTAGTAAATTATGTTCTCTATATGTTTTAATCAATATGTGCAATAAGATAGTTCTTGTTTTTTTTAGTTAGTTATGTCGTCAACATGTTTTAATCAATTAATGTGGTCACTATTGCAGATATTTTTATTTATTAACTCAGGTAATATGGAGGTTTTTATTTTTCTGCAACTTTACTTTTGTCTGTAAGTTTTTTTTAAAGATAGCTCACTATGCACTATGGTATGTGTATTTAGAAAATTACTCTGGTCTACACTGTAGTTTTCTTTAGTACTGGATTTTGTTTAGTAACTTACTGTGATCTTAATGGTAGGTTTTTGTAAAACATATCTGTGGTCTATTTTGTATCTTTTTTGGTGTAAATTTTTCTGATTTATAAGGTAGCACATTGTAAGCAAGTTAGTTGGTCTAAATGGTGTGTAAATTATTGGGGTCTAAATGTTAGGGTTCGTTCTGTGTAAATTGTTGTGGTCTTTGAGTTCCGATTTCTCAGAAAATACTTCATCTAAAATTATGCAATGGTTTAAAATATGAAATTATGAATTAGATTGTTTAAAACTAAACTAAAAGTAAAAGTTTTTAACATTTCTCCCTAATGGTGTTATTAAATGGTATTTTAAGACTCCCCAGATCCTGGAGTTTAAGCTGGACCATGGGTTGATGGATGTGAGCTTAGATGAAGCTGACTACAGTGTTTTAAACTCTGATTTGGCTCTCAATCTGCTCTCAGAGTTAACTGAGGTAATTATTTTGTCAAGATAGAAATTAGAATTGGTGAGGTTTTTAATAAATGACGTCCTTTTGGTGAATTGGAAAAAAATTTGTTTTCAAAGTAAGAACACCAACCTGAAAATAGAAACGAGTCCTTTCTCAGAGATCATAGTAATATATTCTGAGGGAATTAATCGGAAATTGTTACCTCTACTTCTAATTTTTTCTTAATTTATTTGCAGTATTTTTTTGTAATTAAAAATATTGACGGTTTAATTTTAAAAATCTTTAAAGGGAAATAACTACATTGAAAAGAAAATATTTAGTATTTTATGAATAAACTCCCTTTGATATGTAGTAAACAAAATTCTAGTCAGAATTTAGAGTACGAGTTTTGGGTAATAAGTTAATGGATTTATGTATTTCGTAATTTAGCTATGTATTCTTAACTATTTGAAAACATTAGTTTTCAACTGTTAATTAAACTACACAGTCCAAATTATTTCTATCGTCTGTTCATTTTTCCTTACAAACACCAGGCATCTCCCTATTCCAGTCACTATATCCAGTCACTATACCATTGTAAATGTTGGTACTCGAGTTTCTTTCAATTTTTAGCTATTGTCTTCTGTTCAACATATTTGTTTCTTTCGTCGTTTCAGCTGAAGGAGCTCCCATCTTTAGATCAGCAAATGTTGGACCAAGTCTTTCTAGCCCCTCCCCGCGTGTCAGTGACCCCGACCCCAACCCGACGGGTCGTCAACCTCTATGGCCGGAGACTGGAATCTCCGACCCTGTCGCCCAGCCTCCCCCCAGTGGTGGGCTCCCCCTGCCCGCCGCGTCAGTCCGCCACCAGTTGCGTCCCTTACTCCAAGATGAACATCCACTACCCGACCAACAGCTCCACCTCCTCCAGCGTCATACTCCACCACCTGCCCCCTACCCACACCTCCAACACCCTGGTCCCCCACAAATGCCTGCCGCGGGACGTCCCACACGCGTCACCATCCAGGACTGTGTGTTGCCGGAAAGATTCCCCCATGGACATGCACAGCTACAGCATCACCATGGACAGCTCGTCCCACGGGGACCAGCCGCTCCCCAAGTGCATCAAAGTCCACCCCAGCACCATGCCGCAACAAACCAAGGTCAACTTCCAGCCCTTCCAGCTGCCCGTCGCCTCCAGGACACACCCCCAGACCAAACTCCACCCCCGGGTGGTGCCCGTGTCCTGCGGCTTCCAGCCCCGGTTCCCTGGCCAGAACGTGATCGACAAGCTCGGCTCGCATAATGTCTATCACTTGGGCGCTCAGGCCACGCCCACCACAGCCTCAAGGGTCTACCCCCCGCCCCTAAGCCTTAACGCCCAAAGCCCGCTCATCACCTCGCTGTCCCCGCTCCGTGGTGTCAAGTACAACCAGGGCAGTAAGGTCTACGGCCAGCACTGCCAGATGATGCCGTACCGCTCTAGGATGCAGCTGGCCACCTCCACCATCGGCCACTGCCACCGGCGGTCCCCCCACACCGTGCCGGTCAACACCAGTTTAAAGCCGGGAGCCATCCGGGCCCAGACAAACTTGCACCAAATCAAAGTCTGCCTCCCCACGCAGTCCTTGAAGATTCCCATCGCGAAGCTCAGAGGCTCGAGAAAAACGTCCTACGTCAAAGGGAAGTTAAAACACATGGACCTACAACCCGGAGCAGTGGAGCCTTACACGTCACTTCCGGCTAGCGGTCAGACGAGTCCGTTTAACCTGAGAACCGGGACGCCGACTAGTCTTCTAGCCAAAGTCTTGAACCTGCAGGTGAAGAACGAGACTCAGGTAACCAACAAAACCCCATCGGAGGCGGCGGCACCCAGCACAGTGTTAAACACCAAGTCAGCGGCCTCGGCGTTTATAGGCACCATGCGTCCAGTCGGCCTGCCACAGAACAGCTCACTGGTCAAGCCCAACACCCAGGTCCAGCTCATATCCGTGGTCAGCAGCTCTGGACACACCTACGATATCCGCTCGCCCATGTCCACGCAGACGGCCGTCGTGGTCAGCCCTCTGACCATCCATCGCAGCGCAGGTACCTCACAGTCGCCCATCGTCTTCACCAGCTCAAACTCCGCCTACACCTTGGCAACCACGCCCTACAGCATCGCCTCCACCACCAAATACAAAACGTGCTCCTGCGTGACCACGCCCACCTACGCCGTGAGCATCGCCTCCAAGACGAGCTCCGGCATTGGGAACTTCACCTTCCCCCAAAACTCTGTGAAAACGTGCCGGGCGACAGCTGTCAAGTACCCGGAGGGAGGTCTGGCTCAGGGTGATCCCCCTGAGCTAGTCCCCGGGGAGGGTTTAGTCGATGAAGAGGGTGCGGCTGAGGACGACGAATTTGTCATCGTTGGCACCTGTACTTCAGAGTCCAGTGGGAACTGCTCAGATGACGTCATGGTCACTGGCGTCACTAGTCTCATCCAAACTAGGAATAGTGACGTAGATGGGAGCAACGTGGATATGTGCAGCGGGCAGGGAAGTCCTGTGGAAGGTGTGGGGTCGGTAGTACCACGTGATGGGGAGGTTGGTTGTCTTGTGAAAAAGAACGACCTGCCGCTCCGCCCTGAAGAGTGCGCCAAAACTGTGAAGGTTGGGGTCACGCATGCTAAAGACTTCTCGTCTTTTCGGGATTGTTTCTTCGTCATCTCCAGCCAGGTCTCCGGTAAAACTGGCAACTCGGAGGCTGTGAAATCTGGCCAGTCTCAGCTACTTCCGGGTGTCTCAAACATGCTTCGCCAGGATGGCGGTTCCGGTGTTTCTACCTGCAGCGTTGTTAGGTCCGAGAAATCACCGGACAATCTGTTCTTGACCTATCCGAAAAAACTTGTAGAGAAAGTCAAAGATTTATCGGATGCTGGTGACAATCAGTGCATCGACCTGACCTCTTCCCGTCTAGACGGCCGGTCAGAGGTCGATGCCAGACCGGAAACACCCGAATCCATGATGTGCTCGTCTGCAGACCCGCTCAGACATCACGCGCCCTCCGACCCAGATCTGGTGAGTTTGTTGGATGACGGCTCATCTTTGTGGGACAGGGAACGGAAGTCAGCCAGAGAGGGTTCTGGAACCGTCACGCCACCTGTTTCCAGTCACATGGAACTTGACACTGTTACTCCCGTACGGTCTCTGCTAGCCGGCAGACGACCGTCAGACGGCAAGCCGGAGAGTAAACTCGCCGCCGGGCCGGAGGTGGTGAAGACGAAGATGACGATGTGCTCCGTGACGGTCCAGCCGGACACGGGCTGTATCCTGGTGGAGAGTCTGGCCACACGGGACAAGCACAAGTCTCTGGCGGAGTCAGCCCCCAGAGGGCTCTACGACTCGGCCACACCACTCCACCACACATCCGGTCCCAGAAAACGTGCGCACTATATCCACGAATATCTTCCGACCTGAGACAGCAGTAAGAATGACTTGTGTCAATAGCGCTACTTATAAAGTGTTTGACTAGTATTTTTTTTTAATTACTTCACCTGTAGAATTTGTATGATATGTATCATTGTATCTTGTGATAATGGTTATAGCGATAGCTGCTGTATAAAATGTATAGTATATTTGTATCAATGTATAAAGTATTGTGCTTATAACGACGGGCAAACTCCTGTTACTGTACATTCTATAAATCTGATGCTATGCACTGTGCGACCGCTAATGCATGACTATCAGAATCAAACTAGACATACGTCGCACAAATTGAGATATTTTTGGATTGAATTGTTTTTTATTGATTCGATTATTCTACCTCTAATTACATAATTCCCGCATACAAAACATTTGTATGCATGTGCATACCTTATAGCAGCAACAGAATCACATTGGCGAGTTCCTTTAGAAGCTCGTATCAAAAATATCATGTCTTGAATGGTGAGCGCTATATTAACTTACCTGATGTGTTAAGAACAACTCTATATAACAGTGCTAGAGACTGTCCATTAAGGCCCACTTCACTGTCCCTATATGCCAATTGAGTTTTTGATTATATAAAATATCAAAGGTTTTTTTGTATGGATTACTTTGTATTCTTTTTTAACTTGAAATAAATTTGTGTTATCTCTTTTAACATGGCTCCATCAATGATCAAGTTATTTTCTTGTTTAAATGTGATTTTTTAAAGTTCGTAGTGTTAACATGGTTATGATAGCACAAAGTTACAGGGCATTGAGTTATCCCATTGTTGCAGGGATAATTTGAGTAGTATAATTTACTTTTTGACGCGTGGGTCTAGTGACCAATGTTTTGGTTACTGCTTCAGGGGTGTGTCCAACGCAGTGGGGGGGGGGTCACTGTTAAAAGTATATATTCTAAACAGCTTCCTTCATTTCGTTGGGGGGGGGGGGGGGATGGCTCCAAAAGCATGCCTGGAAGTCAGTGGCGTAGCGAGGTCGGGTGTCACCCGGTGCGGCACTTAATAGTGTCACGTCACCCCCCCCCCCCAGAGGCATAGAGACCCTTCCCAGGGACAAACTTTCAAATTTTCGATTTGCACCCCCCCCCCTCAAGTTTTCGATTTGCACCCCCCCCCCCCCCCTCAAACTTTCGATTTGCACCCTCCCCCCCCTCGAGTTTTTCTCTATATATTTTGCTATTGTTTGCCTTGGTGTCACCCCCCCTAAATGGTATCACCCGGTGCGGTCCGCACCCCCGCCCCCCCCCCCCCTCGCTACGCCCCTGCTGGAAGTAACTGTAATTTGCATAGAGCATTTTTTTCCATCACAGGTCTCTCTACAAAGTGCAATTTACTATACAAACGACAACTCGGAATGGTTAATTAAATTAAAGACATTTTATTAAAAGATCATAACAATTAAACTGATCATCAATATGTGTTATCGTCCATTCTAATATTTCTAATACGATACAGCACATGTCGAAACAACAGTTGTTTTTTTTTGTAAGAATTATTCATTAGGCTTTTATTTTTCCATTTATTTAGATGTCTACTTCCAAGCCACCCTCGTTGGCAAAGTCACGAGTGTCTTATTTTATTTTTTTGGTTTACTAGCAAACATAACTGAAACTTTACTTTCTTTTTTCAACTTGTAGGTCAATTTTTGTATAATATTGAACGGCCAACATCGACCATTAGACGTATTAACTCTTAAAAGAAAAAAAAAAGGGCCTCAAAAATTTTATTTCATTGAATAACTATATATTTATCTCCTAACAAATTTAATAGTCAAACAAAACAGCGTACATTGGAAAATTTGTGGTTGCGCTGTAGATGGCGAACACTATGGTGTAGGTAGAGACACACTCCCACTTTCTAAAAATACCGTTTGTTGATTTATATTTGCCCCTCTCTACCTAGACCAAATAGTGAGCAATTAAAATAATCGAGTAAATTAAAACGGCACTCGACCTCTGTCGGCCTCTCCCCGCCCAGCAGTACTCACGCTGGTAGCTCGTGTTTGTTTGCTTAGCAACATCGCACCATTCATTCACGCATGCGCGCGACCAGCTCGGGTGGTGACCGGACATGACGTCAAGACCGCGAGCGTCACGTCTCGCCAACAACAATCTGAATCTCGCGAGAGTTGGCAAAAATAACAGTCCAGGGTATAGGGGGAGATTAAGGGACGTGAAGTAACGAATATTCGATTCACTGACTAGTTCAGAGTTTCGAGATATCGAGTACTCAATTTAGTAGCTAGTTCAGATTTGTGAAGTAACATAAGCAATAGACCCAATGTTTCGTGTGAAGTTTGTTTTGTCTACAGGAATCACATATAGGGTCAGGATTATGATATGGCAGCAACAAATATCACGTGCAAACTTTTTAATCAGTACGGAAGTAATGAATTCTCAATTCGCTGACTACATCTAACTGAAGTATGGAATATTCGCTTCGCTGACGAAATTATCTAATACTTGATGCACTACACACTGACTACATCAGGCTGGATTATTAGTTAAATACTCGATTCGCTGACAAAAGTATCGAACACCTAATGCACTGACTAGATTATATATTAAAGTATCGAATACGCAATTCAATGACTACATCAGACTGACGTATGGAATACTCGATTCTCTGACAAAAGTATCGATACTTTTTCACAGGGTTTATCAGAATGTATCAAATACTGGGTTCAGTACATCAGCCACTACCTTGGGTTGGGAGTGTTTTTTTTTTTTTTTTAAATTACACTGGTTCGTGGTTCTGTGGTGTTAAGAGTAGTAACATACTAACACATAGAAATAGCAAGTACGTATGCCTATATGTCCCTAGGTTTTTTTTTAAAATTAAAAGTGTTGTTGACACAGTCAAGTAAAATATCACTAACAGTAGGCCTATATAATAAAGTACAATAATATCACTAACAGTAGGCCTATATAGTATAGTACAATAACACCAGAAGTGCTACACAGTAAAGTACAATATTAGCAGAAGGACACAGCGAAGTACAATATCACTAACAGTAGGCCTATATAGTAAAGTACAATAACACCAGAAGTACTACATTGCAAAGTACAATATTAGCAGAAGGACATGGCGAAGTACAATATCACTAACAGTAGGCCTATATAGTAAAGTACAATAACACCAGAAGTACTACATTGCAAAGTACAATATTAGCAGAAGGACATGGCGAAGTACAATATCATTAACAGTAGGCCTATATAGTAAAGTACAATAACACCAGAAGTACTACATTGTAAAGTACAATATTAGCAGAAGGACATAGTGACATAGCGAAGTACAGTATCACCACCAGTACATAATAAAGGACAAAGCCATAAAAGTAATTCGTCGTTTACTTTTCAAGCACCGATATTGAAGTGTTAATTTCAATCATGAGACGTACCTACCTGTACATGCTTGTGCATCTAATCACCAATATGCACTAGTGCACCTCAGACGCGTAAAGGGTAGAGCGACGCACCAGTGGCGTAGCGATTTGCACCCCCCCCTCAAACATTCGATTTGCACCCCCCCCCTCAAGTTTTTCTCTATATATTTTGCTATTTTTTTGCCTTGGTGTCAGCCCCCTAAATGGTGTCACCCGGTGCAGTCCGCGCCCCCGCCAACCTCGCTGCGCCTCAGAGATTATTAATATGTATAAATACTTTTAAAAAAAACCTTTTTGTTACTTTTTTTTTTTTTTTTTTGCGTAATTTATAGCGTCAGTTGTGTGTTCGCTTTAGTATTACAGTTTTCATCATCGGCTTGTGAGGACTGATACAGATTTACAATAGTAATATTTCTTTCTTACTTGTAGCCTACTTTCATTCATTTAAGATGGTTTACTTATACATAGATCTAATACAAAATGTCTAAATATAAATAAAAATTAAAAACCAACCTGAAACTGAAAATGCAAATGTGTAATTAAATGGTGATTCAAGGGATTTTTTTTTTCTAGGCGTGCGTGGTGGGCTGAGGGGACGGGGAGGGGGGGGGGGGGAATTTGGGTTTTTAAGTAGAGCTGGAAAAAAAAATTGGGATTACCGAGAATTAAAATTATACAAATTTTAAGCAATCGGAAAAGTTATGTTATTACAATGAGACACATCAAAGCAAACATTCTTCCCTTTCAAACATCTATATCTATACAGTCCTCAAACATTTTTTTTTGTTTTTTTTTTATTAATTCAATTGTTTTAAACATTTAAATCAGTAATAATAATATATTTGATAGATTTTACACAGCATCAAAGACATGAACAATGAACATCAATTGCATATATAATAATCAAAGGGAGAAAATAAAATGGCATAAGAACTAGATTAAAATAAGGTGTGCAAACTTGGTTTCTCTTGACTGCTTAGTTTAGTGTGCTGCGGAGTCAAAAGTTCAAACTGTAGCCACCCATGGACAGAAATAGAAACGACCGTGGGAGAAGTGTCTCTGTAATACACATACTGATCTATCATTCCAAAACTTTCCATGACATAAAATTGACCCTTGGCAATGAGGGCACGCTACCTTGAAATATCCGTCAGTCTGGTTGAGGGGGGGGGGGGGGGGAGTGTGTGTGTGGGGGGGGGGAGGGTTGAGGTGTGTATCTCTTTCTACCATTCAGGTTGTGCATTTTAAAACCCGGAAACAGAAGACTGTTCTAATGTTAATTTACATGAGGGCTGATCGAGTGATGTTTGGCTTGAGACTGTCTAAATTAAAATTAATACTTTATTTATTTATTTCCTGTATATGTCCTGTATATATATAAAATATCTGACTTTATTCCTAATTTGCCATATAGTCGATCTATAAATAGCCGTTGCTACTAGTCTGTTTTCGTCTTCTGTTCTTTGTCTAGTCGTGTTAATTAAATTAAGTGTGATTGCTTTATTTGTTGTGGCTGTTTGATTGGTGGTGTTTAATATTTTCGCAAGTGTTTGCTTTGCTTTCTGTACTAATATACAATCTAAATAATTGTGTTTCTCAGTTTCTTGTATATTTTGTTTACACGTTTGACATGTTATTTTAACATTTAGATTTGACTTTGTATTTCGTGAAACTGGAGTTGTATTAAAAATCAGTCTGTATGCTACTTCCCTTTCTTTTGGTGTAATGCGTTTATTATGTAGGTTTCTAAATGTATCTTTAATGTCTATTATATTGTGTTCCCTGGCCCAACTAATTCTCGTGTATAAGGGTGTCGCTTGTTGTTTGATTAGGATGTCGTATATTTTTTTGTGTGTCTTCCCCAATAATGCTTTTGTTTCCTTGGAATGTTGCTAGAGTTTCTTTATAAAGGCTGCCTATGTCATTTCCCCCATAGTGTGGTGTTATGATGTTTAATTTTAAAATACTCTTTATGTTTTTAATTTTTTTTTTTTTTTTTTTTTTTTTTAAATACTTTTATTTGCAATTTAAAACAAGTACATCAACATCAAATTCTTACATAATTTCGAACATCAAATGAAAACGAAATAGTAATACAATATATTACAATATATTACAATAGTAATATTTCTTTCTTACTTGTAGCCTGCTTTCATTCATTTAAGATGGTTTACATATACATAGATGTAATACAAAACGTCTAAATATAAAGAAAAATTAA